ATTTTTTTTTGCAATCTCCATCACCCCAGCCTACCCACCCTTATATAAATTTTAACAATCCATATTCTTTAATTTGGGTACAAATTCTATTTCTATTCGAAATGAAATGAAATGAAATGAAATGGGGTTTAACGTCCTACTGTTCTGCTCCTAACCAGGGCTAATGAAGACGGACATACGCCATACAGTGTGCTATGAGGGAAATTTTGCCCGGGCAGCGGCGCTACGGCCTACTCTTATATCGAATTCCAACTGCCAAGGGATCTTTTACGTGCACGCCAATGTGTACACGGGACCTCGGTTTTTCGTCCCATCCGAACGACTAGACAGCTGTCCTTGTCAGGCCCTCCGTCCTGCATCACTGACAAGGGGGAAACCACGCCGGAAAATCGTGATGAACTTTCTCGGCCAATGCAGGGATCGAACACCCGACCTCCAGGCTAGCGAGCCAGCGTCTTACCCACTTAGCCACGTGATCCCCCCTATTTCTATTCGAATACACATTCTATTTCTATTGGACTACATATAATAAGTATTCTATTTTCTGTAAATAAACTATTAATATAAAGAGCAATTTATTAGAAAGCGAGTCATTTGAATCAACATACTCCATCAGACATTGGCAGTATTTACATCACAATACATTTATAAATGTAGACGGCCGCACACCAATAAATAAATAGCATCATATGACGTGCATACATACGAAAGAAACAAATATTATACCAATTCACAAAAAGATCTTTTTTTCTCACAGAATAATCAATTCCTTTTAAGTGAGGACACATGGCCATTTTAAAGGCCTATCAATTTCTATGGTTCTACAATTAAACTGACTTAAAGAACCGGTTTATAATGTCAGCGATCGCTTGAACTAATGGCAGAATAATGATACAATTAACGATTTCTCGTACAATTATGTATGCATGGTTGATACACTAGTTAATGGTTTAGCTATGGAGGGTCTTTGTTCATGATAAGCAATGTAAACAACAAAATATTCAGTTACACGTTTTTACAATAAAGTTCACTCTATCTGTCAAGTGATACCCTCTTTGCTATAATCTAAACCAAGCAATAATCGAGAAAATATATTTTTTTGTGAAATGCCCAATTACTTTAGAATCACTTGTATAATGGTGCTTTATTATCATAATTTCTGGCCGATGGCGGTACAGATAAGTAAAAGGTTGCCTAGTACTTCAGATGCAACCTAGAACAGAGGTCCTCTCGTGTAGGTAAAGGTTGCCTAGTCCTTCGGATGCAACCATACGTGTATACGTAAGAACCCCCGACAGAATTCGTGACCAAAGAAAAATAATCTTATGTTACTCTCATAATGACCGAATATTTTGTTGATGAGGCGTTAAGCCCCATTTTTGTTCTATATTGGTGCCGAAGTGCTGTTTTCTGGGGGTTGTAGCTTATTCCAACACTATCTACGATAACTATAAATAAATATTCAAAATTGTACTTTTAATAAACGAGTGTCCAAAACTGGCTAACGGTCACAATAACGAGATAGGTATCGCTAGGGCGAGCCGGTCACCAGACTAAAATTACAGAAGAATATAGAACATATATACAAGCTTAGGATTAAAATAATTATACAATAATTGTAGTACTATCAGATCTTTAATCTCCACGTTGTATTCTCTTCCGTGACTAAGTTACAACTACAGCTAATGTTCTTTTCTTAAATATTTTATTACAATAAACTGGAAGCGTTATTAGTCACAATTCTTCCTTGTCTCAATTAAGTATATGGCTGATATGACAGGCGGTGTGAGTTCTCCTGAATGCTACCCCCCCCACTCTCTTTTATAGGTGTGTACTTTTTTGTCTGTGGTGTTTACATAAAAGACTGATAACAGCTAAATTCAAAATATGGAATGGACATGTACCTTAACCTGGATATCGGGAGGGATTATTACTTAATTTGGTCTATACCAAAGAAAAATGTAAATGACCGACATGTGTATTAATCTATACCTCCGTTAAAGTATCAAAATAACCAGCATACTTTCTATACTAATGTCCAAAAGAAAGTATACGCACTAAAAATATGACTAAGTTCTATTTAGATTAAAAAACATTTGATAAAACATTACTGAGTTTGTCTCTTGCGTCAAAACTCAACAATTCTAAGCAAAATAAAAAAAAGCGAAACAAATTGACATTGTACCCAAATGCCGCATACGATGGAAAACGACCTTGGTTGATGCAGCACGAAATGCGCAGTGTATACTTTCTTTTGGACATTAGTATATATTTTTTGATTATGAACTTAGAATCAACAATTTGTAAAGATAACAATATTGTTTCAGCCATCATATTTCCCCATTCCTTGTGTTTAGACCACATGTCCTGTTATTGTCACAATATTTCATAAACAATTTAAATTTCGTTTCAAAATAAACTCATACCATAACTAATATACAGACAATGGAGAATACAAATAAAACAATGTCGCAACGACAATATTGTTACATAATATTTGATAAGAAATGTTAAATTGCACATCAGACACAGATGTTTAAATACAGAAGATAATATCGACATCGCAAAAACGTGTGTTAACTATAATTATGTAACACATATCGTTACATTAAGTATAAACCCAAACAGTTAAAAGACTTGAAAGATTAATGAGATATCAATTCGGACATTGGTCAATTACTACTTTAACTAAAATTAAATAATAAAATATGTACAAAGATGCACTATAACATTGATAATCTATACAATTAACTGTTAGGTGATTTCATAAAAATGCCTATAAAATGAGGCACTTAAAAAATTTAAATGAAATGAAATGGGGTTTAACGTCCTACTGAAACGGCCATGCAGTGTGCTTTGAGGAAGATTTTGCCCCGGCAGCGGCACTACGGCCTACTCTTATTTCGAATTCCAACTGTCAAGGGTTGTTTTACGTACACGCCAATGTGTACACGGGAACTCGGTTTTTCGTCCCATCCCACCGACTATACGTTGTCCCTTGCCATGCCCTCCATCCTACACCACTGACAAGGGGAACCACGCCGGAAAATCCCGATGAACTTTCTCGGCCAACGCAGGGATCGAACCAGGGATCTCGAGGTTAGTGAGCCAACATCCTCCTCACCGAGCCACCATGGTTCCACATAAACAATTACGCTGCAATTAGTACAAAGCAGTGGTAGGTGCCTTCCAGTAGCTCTACCTTTGTTTTTTGTGTGTATCACGCACCAGCAGGTGGGGTAAACTAAACCATTTAAGATCATCTTATTTATTTATTTATTTATTTATTCATTTATTTATTTGTACCATAACTAAATACTATAATAATGCCTCTATCATATATTATTTGAAATTGTACATACACCCTAGCCACAAGGAAGTAAATTAAAAGCACAGGGCGTACACTTTTTGTTGCGCCTTTATTAATATAGATCGGCGCCATCTATATCCTACTCCCGTATATTGTACTCTCCTAATATCCTAACCCAAGTCGTAATCAGTCAACTATAAAAATAATAAAATTTAGAAAATGATTGGTAACCAACATATTATTACATAATATAATCTCAGAATGTCAAATATTTAAATCATAAAATATTAATATCCAATTATGATCATCGAGTGTCGAGTTAAGAAATTCAAAATAGCTGAAAATAAGGTTCGGACATAATATTTTTTTTTTTTTTAAACAATATTTTATTCAGAAATTGAAAGGGATTGGGGAACAGGCATAGCCTGTATGACTTCTCTCCTAAATAGAAGAATTAATATGGATCTGTATAAGAGAGAGAGAGAAATGGGGTTTAACGTCCACTCGACACAAACTAGGTCATTTCGGGACTAACATATGGTTTAATTTTATTTACATAATTCGCTTGCGCGTAGGGGTCTTTAGCAGTGGGAGGAAACCGGAGGACCCGGAGAAAACCCACAAGGTTGGACAGGCGACCCTACTCCTTGCCACGTACAACCGGGGATTCGAAACCACGCCAGTCGACTCAATGACAGACTGTATGATACAGCGCGCACACGCTAACCATTCAGCCATCCACCCCCCCCCCCCATCTGTATAAGAAATAAGTGAGTAAACAACAAAACAATAGAATGAATACTTAATCAACAACATATTTACACATTGGCTACGATTTCGGTCGATATAGATGTAATTACACTGATCTTAAAACCTTCTGCTGCTGTCAAAAACATGTGGACCTATTCAAAGATGGCTAACAAAATATGACTGCTGTTTACACTGTATAACAGATTATGTGTATTGATAAAATTCGGTGGTAAGAGATTTATAGATATTTTGCGGGAATCAGAAGGTAAGGAGCAATGTAAAAGAAAATGATCGGTATCTTCGAAGGAATGACCGCAATCACACTCGGGGCTGTCCGAAAAATGTCTTAAAAATTTTAAAATAGTCATAGATCTATATAATATTTATGTGTAGTAGGCTAGTATACAATGAATTTTCAAACAATTGCGCCATTATCATCCATAGTTTGCTCAACAAGAAAAAAATAAATCATACGGTGAAAAGCCGAAGTGAAAATAAGATGTCCGAAATGAAAATGAAATGGGGCTTAACGTCCTAATTTTCTACACCGACGAGGTTAATGAAGACGGACATACGCCATACTGTTATTCCGGATTCCAACTGCCAAGAGTTCTTTTACGTGCACGCCAATATGTACAAGGAACCTTAGTTTTATAGCACCATTCTGACGACCAGACACTATCCTTGCCAGACACTCCGTCCTGCATCACTTACAAGGGACTTTCTCAGCAAAGGCCAATCCATTTTTTTTTTAAGAAAAGGAATCGAATTTATTACTATTTTACAGTAACCTACCCACTTTCTCAGATAAAAGGGAGCTCGAGCCATTTGGATTAAGACAAATAGGCCCTAATTGCTTCCCTTGATTTCAGAGATGGGGAAATAATTAGCGGTCTAAATCCATTTGAACTATTTAGAGCTATCTCCCCTTTGTGATTTGTTTATATTGACTCCATGGAAGTTTGTAATAGCACATTGATTATGTTCAGGCAGATTTGACGTAATATATATTTTTTATTATTATTTGAATGCGTATACTTTTCCCATCAATCTTTTCTTACACAATACTAGACTAGCTCTAGCAGCTTTTGTTACATGGCGCTTATACAGCTGTCTTGTTAGAATGTCATCACCGGTGTTTTGGGGAATGGGATATATGATGGTGCAATTATTAGTACGGCCTACGTGGGTACATGTAATGCGGTAATAAGTGATCGTGGGACTTTTCTAGTTTGATAAAACATTTACTGTTATAAAAGAAGCTAAGGCAGAAGCGAGGGGATTGAATCGCACCTGTTTCTTCTTGACAAAATTATCGTTTCTCAAATTGCACATGTAACAGTTCAAGTCAGTTGATATGAAAATTGCCATATATCATGGCATATGTTAGTCTCGGAATGACAGAAGTATAATACTAATAGTCATGACGGCTACACCTCATTCAGTCATTTTGTTCAATTTTATCGTAAAAATAAGGTATGAAATAATCACCCATTGTAAGCATAACACACTTAAAAATAATATGATGATCAACTGTGATTAATCAGATCAATACTATTATATAGGCTTACTATGATCTGTGATGTTGATTAGGTTAAATGATGAAATGGGGTTTAATTATGTCCTACTTTTCTGCAGTGACTGGACTAATGAAGCCCCTTGTGCATTTGTTGATAACGTATCAATAATGCCATTATATGGTAAATGGTGTTTTACTTAGCCTACATGTTAACTGTCTTTATTACTAATATTAGCCTGGTTGGCGCAGGAAAGTAGTAATGTTAAAGTTTAAAGGGATCATCCCGATTTTAACAGAGCCTCAGAAATAAAAGTCCATGTATGTATGAAATTTAACTACCAGTATATACAGGAATTGTGTATATAGCTTGTCTCAAAACATTGAGCCGTTTGGACATGAACGTCAAAACCGCTTATCTGGACACGTAACCCTTTTACGGTTTCAGTTAATTTTTTCGTTTGGTGACCTGATAATCTGTTGCTGTTTTATTAGAGGTCTATACAGTGCCTGACCGTCGTGCTGTACGCACGCTTGATAACTTTTATGAAATAAAAGTCAAGTTTTATCCAGACACCATATAATACAGATTGGGACACCGGTCTCCATTTCTAAATGAAGACTGACACGTATCATGTATATTGAGTTAAAGGATTTTAAGGCCTTTTAACACAAAATGAAGCAGTTTTATTCTCCAAATATAAATGTTTTATGAATTATTTGTAGTTTGCATTGAAAACTCTTTTTTGCCTCTACATCTCTAACCCCTAAAGTAATAATTCCAAAACTTCTTTCCCACAGTTCCTCATTACAGATGCAATCAGGCCATCTTATATGTTGAATCTTTCTAAGACAAATGTTGATGAATATTTGTTGTTTGCATTGAATACCCTTTTTTGCCTCTACATCTCTAACCCCTAAAGTAATAATTCCAAATTGTTGGAACTAAACGCTTTTGAAAAGTGCAACAAAGTACTTTGGGTTTTTAAATTAGTCTTTTCTTTTACCTGAAGAAATAAGAAGAACAGAGAATTGAATTGGTGTTGCCTAATAGTGATCAAAATTCATCTATTTTTTCCATTACAGTTTTTCAATGGGAGCCTCATCATCAGTTGCAGGGTCTACTGCAGCCTCGGCCATCCATGGCTCCATAGATAACCTCAAAGATTCAGTAAAAGTAAAGAAGAAAAACAAGAAAATAAATCCCAATGAAGATAAACCGAGCGACAATATGGAAACTATTAAAAACATGAAAAATGATAATCCAGTACTAGTGGATGACTTTAACTTTTTTGAAGAAACAACCAATCAATTAAAAATAAATTCCTCTGAAGACCAGCTTAAAAGATTGAGTAAAAAGTTAGCAGAATTTGAGACAAGGTTTTTCTGCTATACTGAAATGAAACTTCACAGAAACTTGGGGGATTATTTAGCTATGATTGGTTTTGTGGAAATTGCTGTGAACAAATATATAGCTATATTAAAAACTGCCAATCTCAAACATTTAACGGATACAATCTTGGAAATTAAAGAGGTTCATACTGCTGATAATATTAAAATGACAGAAAATGAAGTATGGTTCCTTATTTCTGTAAGAAGTGTGCTCTGGAACTTTTCTGATGCTAGTGTAAAGTTAGGAGACAGAGTTGCCAAGATGGGTTTTTTTCATTATCTCATGAATGATCTGAAAGAATTACATAAAAAGTCTGCTGAATTTGTGGTTAGTATTATAATATTAACTATTCTATTTTAATCTGCTAACCTCTTGGGTTTTTCTCCAAGCAATCTGCAGGTTTCCTATCACCTCAAAAGTCCCTTGAAAGTTCCTAATTTTCTAGCTTGGTTCCCTTTTAAGGGGTGAAAGACGGAGTGTCTGGCAAAAAAAAGCATTCAGTCGGATGGGACAAAAACAAGAGAGAGAGGGAGAAATGGAGTTTAACTTCCACTCAACAGTAAGCAAGCGCTGTACTCACTGAACCATTGTGACAATTAACATGTTTTTTTTTTCATATTTTCAGAAAAATAGCAGTGTTTTTGATTCGGCTGTAGGAATTTTACACAACTGTGGTAAATCTTCAAGTGTTGAAACACGAGAATGTTTCAGAAAAGAAGATACAGTGAAAAATTTGGTGCCTTTTTTACAAACGAAATCAAAAAGTAATTTTATTTTTTTAATGTATTATTGCCGTCTCTCTTCTATGTTTCAGTCAGTATTATAATGCACACTTGAAACATTCCTCTCTAATAGACAGTAAGCTGCCAATAGTCAACCTTATGCATCTGATGAAGGTGTAAACATGTTCTGTAACTTATCTGGGGGGGTTGGATAGCTGAATGGTTAGCACGTGCGCGCTGTATCATAAGGTGTCATTGAGTCAACTGTCATTTGATTCCCCGGTTGTACTTAACAAGGAGTAGGGTCGCCTGTCCAACCTTGTGGATTTTCTCCAGGTCCTCTGGTTTCCTCCCACTGCTAAAGACCCCTATGCGCAAGCAAGTTATTGAAATAAAATTGAACCATATGTTAGTCCCAAAATGACCTAGTTTCTGTAAAGTGGACATTATCAGAACCACATCCTCGCTATATTGGTGTAAACAGGATCTGTAACATATCTGAACCATCTCCTCGCTGTAAACAGGGCCCATAACGTATCTGAACCACCTGCTCGCTGTATTGGTGTAAACAGGATCTGTAACGTATCTGAACCACCTCCTTGCTGTACTATTTGTATAAACATGGTCGGTAACGTATCTGAACCACCTCCTTGCTGTACTATTTGTATAAACATGGTCGGTAACATATCGATATTATTACGCATGTTTATTAAATTTTTATTTTCAGATGTTAAGCTCCTGGTTCTCCTTACCTTAGCAAATATAATCAACGAAGAAGAGAATCATTTATTGTTAGCAGATGATACTATATTTGATGATATTATTCAAATGATAAAATGGGCAAACAAGAACCAAGGTCACAGATTTGATGGGTTTAGTGTAGAGGAATTGGTCTCAGGATTAAAGGGCTTGGCCAGAAATGATCAAAATAAGAACATATTAATGAAGAAAGGTGCTCTTCCGCTATTAAAAGAAATTATTGAGGCTAAATATAATGATGGCGAGGTTTTACAAGCAACAGAAGCGATCAGAATTTTGTCATTTTCTAAAGACAACAAAAATGATATCAAGGTATTTGAACAGTAGTGACAGGTTTCATGCACCAGACAGGGTAGTTCTACATTCTCTAGAACACCTAATACCACCTGTAATTATTTAGGAGATTCCCATGGCTCCACAAGTATGTTGAGTGTTACTTGGTATTCAATTTCAATAGTACACTATATGACCTTACAATGAAATGACAGGTGGTATCAGGTGTAGGGGATCACGTGGCTAAGTGGGTAAGACGCTAGCTCGCTAGTCTAGAGGTCGGGTGTTCGATCCCTGCATTGGCCGAGAAAGTTCATCCAGATTTTCCGGCGTGGTTCCCCCTTGTAAGTGATGTAGGACCGAGGGTGAGATGAAAAACCGAGGTCCCGTGTATACATTGGAATGCATGTAAAAGATCCCTTGGCAGATGGAATTTGATATAAGAGTAGGCGATAGTGCCGCTGCGTGGGCAAAATTTCCCTCATAGCACACTGTATGGCGTATGTCCGTCTTCATTAGCCCAGCATAGGAGCAGAACAGTAGGACGTTAAACCCCATTTCATTTCATTTCGGTATCAGGTGTTCTAGAATAAGTGAGTCAATTTCTGTGCATGACACCAGTCACTAATCAAAACTAAGTGAACCAATGTCTAGCCAGAGTTACTTGTCAAAAGGCAACCTGACTGTAAACTTTTTCATAGGTTGAAGCTGCAGTGGTTCAGTGGGTAGAATGCTGGCTTGATATCCAGGGATCAGGTCTTGGGTTTGCTCCTGGTGTTGGCCCAGACAGTTCCTCAGGATTTTTCAGATTTGTTTTACTTTGTCAGCAGTACAAAACATGGATCTGGCAAGAAACAGAGTAGTCGTTTTGAGGAGAAGAAAAATGTAAATTTGTTAAAGAAGCCTTTTGGAATTTGAAATAGGATTAAGTTATTATGTCGCTATCCTTTTAAAATTCCCCGCAAAGGCATGGCGTAAGTTCATCTTCATTAGCCCAGTTGGTGCAGAAAAGTAGGACATTAAACCCCATTTAAAGTCTTCAAATGAAATGAAATGAAATGAAATGGGGTTTAACGTCCTACTGTTCTGCTCCTAACCTGGGCTAATGAAGACGGGCATACGCCATACAGTGTGCTATGAGGGAAATTTTGCCCGGACAGCGGCACAAGGGCCTACTCTTATATCGAATTCCAACTGCCAAGGGATCTTTTACGTGCACGCCAATGTGTACACGGGACCTCGGTTTTTCGTCCCATCCGAACGACTAGACAGCTTTCCTTGTCAGCCCCTCCGTCCTGCATCACTGACAAGGGAGAACCACGCCGGAAAATCTGGATGAACTTTCTCGGCCAATGCAGGGATCGAACACCCGACCTCCAGGCTAGCGAGCTAGCGTCTTACCCACTTAGCCACGTGATCCCCAAAGGCTATTATTTTATACACAGGAACATGATATCAACACTCAGTATAGAAGCTTGATAAACTTGTGGACAAAGGGAAATAATAAATTTACAATTCTTGAATTCTGTTTAGAAGATGAAAGAGTGTGCAGTTCCAAAATATTTCAAAAATTCCTTTGTGGGAAGAGTTTGATGTGGTGATGAATCAGGGTACCAACTGGCACTACTGTTCACAGGAATGATAATAATTGTATCTTTATTATCTTTCAGAAAGACGTAAGTCTAATCCAGCTGTTAACGGATTTAACTAAAAATACTGTGGAGAATGTAGCCAATGCAGCATCTGGGATTCTGTGGAATATCAAAGATGGTAATAAAATATTGAAATAATGAATAGCATTAATAGAACTCTTCTAACTTTCAGTATATGCTGGTACCTCATCTCTTTACTGTAAGTTAGACTTCGGTGTAAAGCAGACTTGAAGCAATGTTACCGTATGAGGGTCTCAGTATCATGTATTTTATGTATATATAAGGGTCCCCTTATCATGGGGGATCACATGGCTAAGTGGGTAAGACGCTGGGTCACTAGCCTGGAGGTCGGGTGTTTGATCCCTGCATTGACCGAGAAAGTTCATCCAGATTTTCCGGCGTGGTTTCCCCTTGTCAGTGATGCAGGATGGAGGGCCTGACGAGGACAGCTGTCTAGTCATTTGGATGGGACAAATAACCGAGGTCTCATGTACACATTGACTTGCACGTATAAGATCCCTTGGCAGGTGGAACTCGATATAAGACTAGGCCATAGCACCGCTGCCCGGGCAAAATTTCCCTCATAGCACACTGTATGGCGTATGCCCGCCTTCATTAGCCCAGATTAGGAGCAGAACAGTAGGACATTAAACCCCATTTCATTTCAATTCCCCTTATCATGTACATACATGTATATATCAGGTTCTTGTTATCATGTATTCACATGTATTCAGGGTCTCAACATCAGCGTGTGTGTATAAAGGTCTCCTTATCATGTAGTATATATAACAGTCTCAATATTATGTACATAGTTTTAATAAGAATTTCTTCTCCATATAATTAATACTCAGATGAAGCCTCTTCTTCTCTTGATAAGCATTAAATTTGAATGCAGTAACATATTTTGTATTTCAGATAAAGAAAAGCATGAAAATGTAAAAAACAGTCCAGCAAAATCTAATGGACATGTTATGATTAGTTATCAGTGGGCAGACCAGAAAAAACTCATACAGGTCAGTAAAAAATAATAGCAGCAATAGAAAGGCTGGGTGGCCGAATGATTTGATGCCTGTGCTTTAGATAATAAGGTCTGTTGTCATTGAGTCAGGTGTCATGGTTTCGATGACAAGGATTAGGCTTGCCTCTCAAACCTCGTGGGTTTCCTCTATGACCTCCGATTTCCTCCCCTTTCCTCCCCTTTATAAAGCGAATTATTGAAATCAAATTATTTATTGTTTATATCAGATCATTATTATTATGAGGTGCCACTTATGCCATCGGTTGACAACCCCTGTACAAGACAAACCTGAAATGCTCCCAGAAATAACATACAATACAAGGATGTCTCTTAACCAAAATTTGTAGCGAACAAAGCTGTTAACCATATTACCTAAGGTTTTCAGTTTGTACCTAATGACATTCCTGGGTTTTTTTTTGTGAAATCTAAATCTGATGGAATGAATTGTATGTATATGTTTATATTTTCCTGGTGATTTCAAAAAACAGATTTTTCTCTAAATTTTCAGATCTCCCAAATGTTAAGTGAAGCGGGTTATTTGGTGTGGATGGATATTAAAGATATGGAAGGGTCTACTCTACAAGCTATGGCAGATGCTGTGGAGAAAGCTTGTGTTGTTTTAGTCTGTATGTCAGAAAGATACAAAGAAAGTTCCAACTGTAGAACAGGTACTGTATACTTATTAGGGTTTCCTGAGAGGAATCCAGTTCGCAGGAATCCTGGACTGCTTTCCAATGTTTGGGATCACAGGATGAGCGGTTGGGATCCATCTAATTATTATTGCATGTTGGTCTCATTTTGTTCTATTTTGGCAGCCCAAAATTTTCCCTGTTTAGCAATGTAGCAGGGTTGAGTTTTAAGTTCTTTTGGAAGCCGTTTTCACCGAAACTGCAAGCATGGTATTGGGTTATGTAAGAAAAATTTGATTCACGCATCGATTTATGGTACACAGCCAGTGAGAATCGTGCGATATCAGTGTGTGACATACTTTGCCCAGCAGACGACAAGCGACTACTATGATGATACAAACTCAGCAAATCCCAATCCAGGAATCACAGGATCACGGGATAAGAATTTTATTCTTAGATTTATTGTGGGTGGGATGTACTGATGATGATGGTTCTAGGGTTAAGATACTGGATTCATGCCCAGAATGTTCCAGGGTCTCACTTGTGGTGGTTCATTCCTGTGGGCTTATCAGGAAAGCGTGTCTAATTATTCAGATCAGATGAAATAATAGATAAAATGTAAACAAATAGTATAAGTATTTATATATCACTTTTCTCTAATTTATTTCAAGGAACTGGGGTAGTCAGTATATACGTGCACCAAGTGCTAAAGGGTTAGGGGGGTTGGATGGCTGAATGGTTAGCGTGCGCGCGCTGTATCATAAAGTCTGTCATTGATTCGACTGGCGTGGTTTCGAATCCCTGGTTGTACGTGACAAGGAGTAGGGTCGTCTGTCCAACCTCGTGGGTTTTCTCCGGGTCCTCCGGTTTCCTATAACAGCTAACGACCCCTATGCACAAGTGAATTATTGAACCCCATTTCTCTCTCTCTCGCTAAAGGGTTAAAATTAGAAGTAACATCTGCGCCATTTCAATTATCTATTAATTTTTCTTGTAAAAATGAAATAATTTTTTGGGGTAGTTTTAAATTTGTTTTGTGATTATTTTGTTTTTCAGAAGCAGAATATGCATTTACGTTAAAAAAGCCAATTATACCTCTTATGATGCAGAGGGGTTACAAACCTAATGGATGGTTAGGTATGATTCTGGGTGCTAAATTATTTGTTGACTTCAGTGGTAAATATTCATTTGATGATTCGTTTAAAAATTTATCACGTCAGTTGGGAAAAGATGGTAAAATTGGTGGAGATGCTGATGAGGTAGGTACATTGTGTATGGATTGTTACCCTTGCATTTTAGAAAAAATTCTAAATGGTTAAAGTAGTGATGGACAGATAATCGGTTTCTACATTGGTAATTGGCCGATAAGTGGCCTATCCTTAGACATCGGAATCGGATGACTCTCTGCCATTTTGCCGATACTGGAGTTGCTGATATCTGTTCAAAAGGACTCGGTAAATAACTCTAAAATATCATTATTTTTCTTGACAATCGGTACTTTTATTTTAGTTGCGGTGCTATTAGACATAGTACAAGACTCTGATAGAGGCCGTAAAAGGAAATAATAAACAGTGCAAATCCTTACCGGGCTAAGTTATTTTTTTTAAGCCTTATTCACACATTGTTTGAGCTTTAGGGCATCTCAATGCGTTTTTTTAAGAATACCATTTATGCGCATGTGCTAATAGACATAAACGTACAACGGTCAACCCCCTAAAAAACATCTGACTGGAATATGGAATAAGCCCATTGCATGATGATCAAAATGATAGAATAAGAGAACTCCGCAGTATGTCGTGGAGGCCTTTCTTTGATCCCGTTTAAATGCGTGCTGATATCGTACATCATCATGCAGAGATCCTTCATTTGATCACTGTCGCTGATGTGAAATAGTTCCAAATGTAACTACTGGTATTTTTGATTTTGTTTTCTCTATTAAATGTTAAATAATCAATCTGATTACATGATAGGGAAAAATGCAAATGACACATAGTTACTTCACTATCATTTTATTTACGGGATTGAAATTATCTTTTACTCTTTTTTTTTTTTTAGGTTGACGGGCCAATAGCAGTAGTAAGATCTGTTCCTTTACAAGCAGCAAGAGGTAATGGTACAAATGAATGGTCTGCAGATGATGTATCAAAATGGCTGAAAAAAATCAGTTTAGATAGGTAGTGTGTATTTTTTATAAAATTATTTTATAAAATTAAGGGCGTATTATCTCATCACCGTGTCCACAAGTCTGTGAACAATTGGCTTGTGAACATGTTAGAGATTACAGTGTTTAACAAAATTTCTCAATTGTGGGTATGAGAAAACAAACCCTATCAATATTCAGTCTACCGTGACTCATCGTTCTGGAGTTTTTCTCTCTCTGCCAAAAACCTTGTAAACACGATAGAGTCTGTAGTTTTTAATGGATCTAAGTGCATTTGTAGATTAATACTGTTGCGACCTATTGTTGTCATGGAGACACATGTCGTATACCAGTATTTATAGTCCATAAGCCAATAATGTGATATTTTGTACAATCAGGGACCATAATTCACCCCCCCCCCCCAACACACACCCACCCACCCAACACTGATAGTGTATAAGTATGTAATACCAAAGCTGTGAACGCTCTTGAGGTCACAATTTTTATCCGATTTTGATGAAACTTAAAACACATGTTTATATCCCAAAGATCTCTGTTACTTTCAATATTCGCGCATATGGATGGTGGAATTTAACTGGTTTTCTTAAAATCATTATATTCTAGAATTTTCAGTTAATAATCTTTGACCAGAATTTTTCTGGGAACACCCATATACACATTGAACTCTTTGTCTGTTAAAATTTGATAATGAATAGGTGGAAATGCCACTGTTTCACACTCAACTATTGAAATGGTCTCAAAATGACCAAAGTATTGTGATGATAATTGCATTCAATTCAAATAATCTTATCACTTTATTCCTCACAGCAAGGGATCACGTGGCTAAGTGGGTAAGACGCTGGCTCGCTAGCTTGGAGGTCAGGTGTTCGATCCCTGCATTGGCCGAGAAAGTTCATTCAGATTTTCCGGCGTGGTTTCCCCTTGTCAGTGATGCAGGATGGAGGGCCTGACAAGGACAGCTGTCTATTTGTTCGGATGGGATGGAAAACCGAGGTCCCATGTACACTTTGGCGTGCACGTAAAAGATCCCTTGGCAGTTGGAATTCGATATAAGAGTAGGCCTTAGCACCGCTGCCCTGGCAAAATTTCCCTCATAGCACACTGTATGGCGTATGCCCGTCTTCATTAGCCCAGGTTAGGAGCAGAACAGTAGGACGTTAAACCACATTTCATTTCATTTCATTTCCTCACAGCAAAGAGAAACTACAGTCTTTGACAGGAGAACAGTTGACTTTCTTGAAGAAATTATCTAACAGGGTAAGACTTATATAATTATATAGTGGGGATTTATTATAAATTATATAATTATATAGTGGAGATTTATTATAAATTATATAATTATATAGTGGGGATTTATTATAAATTATATAATTATATAGTGGGGATTAATTATAAATTATATAATTATATAGTGGGGATTAATTATCTAACAGAGCAAAACTTAAGCCCTGTTTACACTTGGCCGCGATAAACGTGCCCCGTTCTCGGCATAGTACAAGGCCGCGATAAATTTTTAAAAATTGACCTGTTATATTACTCTACAATAACCGGTCTCAGAACCGTGCCAGGCACACCAAATGTGCAACTCTTCACAAAAAAGTTAATTTCAGTCCCTATGCAAATTACCTGGATGAAAACAATTATGGCGGTTGATTTAGTTTGGGAAAACCATTTTGACAGAACTGATGACAGAATTGTCAAAGTTTGTGGGAAAAAAGGTCATGTCAGACCGGATAGCATTTGCACTATGAAAATTTAGCCGTGCTATGTCTGGCATCGTTCCGAGACCACCTCACTTGAGTGGGCCAAATTTGCACGGTTCTCAGTACGGCATGCTTATGTTTGACCCGTTTACACTACAAAAAAAATAAACGTGCCGTACCTGGCATCGTTCCTGGCACGTTTAAAATTTGTAATGAGTTTAGTTTGCCCATTATATAATTAATGCTTTGCATTTTTTTAATAAGAATAATGTTTATTAATGATAAAATGAAGTATAATGTTTGATGTTTTATTTTTGCATTTTCAGGCACCAGAATTTTTCTTCAGCTATGTTAAAACTGATCTTGGTTTACACAGATTAGATGATCTGATGAAATTTACTAATGCAATAGATCAAATTTAAACATCTAGATAATTATTTTGTGTTTATGAACTATTCAATGAATTTGTATCTAAGGCCACACAAAAAAAGTAGTCTGGTTCTGAGACAATCCTTTTAGAAAAATTGATGCGGGAGGGCGTTTGGTTTTTTTTTGGGGGGGGGGGCGGGTTGTTTTATTTTGTCAAAGTCTAGATCTAGCTCATGTTTCATTTTTAAAAAACACACAAAATTATTATAAATTTAAAATTTATTCCACTCTTAATAAGAAAAAAAAAATAAGTAAGAATTTGAAATAACGTCCGAATAATTCCATGAGTTCATCTATCTATATTCAATAACTCCTTGGAAAATGTTTTCAAATCTGCCGGTTTTTATTTTGGCGACCATTAGATCTACATGGTATTGATACCATACTCATTGTTAAATCATAGATTTTGTTGGCAATTTAAAATGAAGTCTGCGACCTCAATACCCACGAAGAATATTTTCAGTCGTATCTCTCACAGTCATATTTCTTGGGAAAGGTAAGGCATTTTGATCGTAAAAAAAAGACAAATGACAGCCATCTTTGCAAATAATAAATTAACACTCGATTATCCAGTGCCGTTCGTGATTGTCAGTAGTGTTTTACTTACTTGATAGCTAAGTCTAGTGTTCATTTCCTGTTATCAAAAAACTTTTAATAGCGCTCCTCTCATGATCAAGGGGGAAATATGGTCAAGTGCAAATTATTGACTTTGTTTTTATTTATTTTTTTTAAACAAGAACATGTGATGCTGCACATTTTTAATGACGAGTCGGTATCTGAGAACCAGAATATTTTTTTGGTGTGGCCTAATTGAAAATTTATTTTTCATTGTCAAGGTTTGGGGGCTTTTGTATGGAATTTTGTACAACACATTCCATAACAAGATATTATTGGACTATCTTGTGGTAAATACACCATAGAATAAAATCTTGGGCAGTCTACTTATGTCACATCTTACAAGATGATAGGATAAACTATTAATGTTCCAGGAAAATAAAACATGTTTTTAAACCTAATTTACTCAAAATAAAGTTGAATCTAGTGTCTTTTGTAGTGGAAGTTATGAGATGGTCCCATAAATTGAGTTTAAACCTCACTCAAATGTGGCCATCTTATACAATATCCTTCAACAGCCCTCTCCTCAAAAATGTAATTCTGAATATGCAATTGTGTGATAAATATTCATAGAGTATTATTATAGATGTTTTGTTAAAGTGCTTTGTCTTTTAGACATTATAAAAATGTACACATTGTAGGAGGGAGTATACTGTTGTCACCACTGTCCATCTATTAGTCCGTCCATCAGTATCCAATTCTTATAAAAACTCTGCTGATAATTGTTTTGTTCAAGATAATTTGGGTAGTCATCAGGGGCAAATCTTATTAGATTGCATAGTCACACATCAGTTCTATGCAGAGTTATTGCCTCTGTCAGTTATCCTTGTAAATGCTGTATTTTCTAAAATCAGAAAAGCTCAACAGTTTTTAATAATTCAAGTTTATGAACACTTATTGCCCCTTCAAAATGCTGCTGTTGGGCATTATATTAGTTGCCTAGTAACACTATTTTTTCATATTTCTTTAATGATTATTTATGTCAAATATATCTGTGATATTGTAAGCACAGTCCCAATTAATATATTTATCATGATTATTTTGTTGATATTTAGTATATTTATTCATGTTATATTTTTGATAGTTAATATTATTAAGAAATGCACTACAAGAGAGCATATGACTGAGAGATATTAATCTCTTAATTAACACACTGTGATATTTCCATTACAATTAATGCACTGCTCTATTCATATTTCTATGATTTCTTTATACAATTTTATTTCTGAATCAATTTGTTATAATTTTATGATGTGTTGTGTTGTTTACTGCCAATATCTAGGCTTTTCATTTAAAGGCAGTCAGGGTATGCTAAATCTTTTTAGAGAGCTGATACTTCACTGCTTTTGAAAAGTCAGCAGGTGCATGTCCAGAGGGGGGTGGCTACATTCATCGAAATAATGTCTAATCAAACAAAACATATGCCACCATTTTGTATCAGACCATCTGATTTTATCAAATTCTCAGGTAATCCCCCACAGTTCACACCAAACTTGATGTTGTCTCCACTAAGCCCACCCCACCCCACCCCCTGCTCAATTTCCTGAAAGAAACCCTAGTTGAATTTGGTTTTACTTTTGTATTTAAAATAAGTTACACCTTTTGATATCTGTTATCGATCAATATCTTATATAAGTGTCTTTTTATTATGCTTGGCATTCCTGGCACATTGTTTAGTCAATGATAGTAATATGATTAATTTTGTTGATTTAAATGAATAGTTATTAAATTGTAGTTTTTTGTTAATTTTAAGTAAGTTGTATAATTGTTTTTAAATGAATGCTTTTACATGTATATTATGTTTGACAATTACAAATTTATGTATTGTATTCAAAACCTCTGTTTTCCTCTTTGGTCTTTTTATACACACCAAATGGAAATAGGGTACCATGGGTAGTTAAAAAGAGGGAAATATTTATATGATATAACAATGAGTGGATACTTGTCGAAACGTTGTGCTTTTAGAATAAAAATTGTGTTCTGTTAATGTTTTTTTTTTTTAAATATGCTAAATTCCATCCAAATAAATATTTTTATGTCTATTCTGTTTAAAACCGTTATTTTTATCTATATCTATTTGATTTTGTTATTGCAAAATAGATATCTCTGATTTAATCCACATCTCAATTTCATTTTATATTTGTAATACCAGGTATGATATTTTTTTGATATATATTTATATATTTGTTATTATGTTGTTAATAATAGCAGAATGTCACTGCTATTTGATTGGTGAAATATATACATCTAAATCATATTTATGATTCTAATACTGAAATTATAAATAATTGATGAAGTATACATAGGTCTGCTCATATTAGGCTATATTTTATTTATTTTAAACATTTGTTAATTCTGCTGTAAATAAACTCTATCAATTTTAGACCAATTGTTTATTCTTTTTTTCATATGATAGTAGTGAAAGACGTGCATCTATTATGTGAGCCGTGTGAAGCCTATTGTCAACTAATAAAAATGTTGATGTGTTGATTGCTCTCGACTGAAAACTAGACACCTTTAATTCCTTTCTGTCTCAGTTCTGCTGTCCAGTCTATGTATGGTTGTCAACTTATTGGCCATAACCTGGAAATCTATCAGATTGTCTGGAAATGTACCCATACCACTTCTACCCCAACCTTGGGTAAAGTCAATTTATTTTTTAATACCTTGACATAATTTATATTTTATTCTGATATTGGAGTTGTCTCCCTTAGAATGCTTCCTTACCCCCCCCCCCCCCCAACCAAATTCATGAATTCAAAGGAGTCAAAGCAGGGGTTCGTCAGAAGACATGACAATGAGATATACATGGAAAGAGGACGAATGTAGTGCGAGGTATAAATAGACAATTTTTCCCTTAATTTTTTTCTCCCCTCTTCCTGCATTTTTGGGTTGACTTTTTGGTCTAAAATTGGAGAAAAGGGATCAAATTTGCAATTTCATAGCAGTTTTGGGTAATACTGTGATATTACAGCAGAGGGATAGGCGGGGTAAAGTGTCTTTCTGCAGAGCAATCATTGTGTTGGAAGTGAGATTTTCACCCCAGTCAACATCAAATCCCCGTAGAAAAAAATCTAAATGGTCAACCCCCTACAAATTTATGATGAGGATATTGCCAAATGCGGTCCCCATTGTGCCTATAAAGATTGGAACCAACGGAACGTTGAGCAAAAGGCTACAGCCTGTGATGTTACAGCCATTTAACATTGAAGTCAATGGGCAATAAATTACTAGTCTGAGCCCAGATAACAGACGAGTTACCTCCCCTTGTTACGGTTTTCACGAGAAAGATACATTTTTAAAAAATAACAAATGTCTCAATTTCCGCCAATATCAAGAAAACAAATCGTTGAAAAAAATATATTTATTATGTTTCTGTAACCCTATTGATTTATATAAATCATATGGTGATAAATGGTTACCAAAGAACGTATGATTTTAGATACCGGTAATTAATGTGAAACTTGTTTTAATGAAAAATCCGACAGTCAAATCGCATTAATATTAATAAAACTTGTGTCCAAAAAGTCATCCACACAAGACTTGCCACTTGGTCTTAGCAAGAGTAACAAAAGGCAGGCATATTGAATGATTGATTGGAAAACTAAATTAAATGGATTAGAAATCAAACTACCGGCATTCATGTTTGATGTGACTCACATTTTTGTGTCTCAATATTTCATTGTTGTTGAAGATTTTGTCTTACTCATGACATTGGATTGGTTTTAATTAAACCCCTCTAACCCTGCATTTAAAGGTTTTAATCTTAAATACCTGCCCCAAACCCTAACACTAATCCTAAAATGTAAAACTGATGGAATGTAAAAGTGATGGAAATAGAAAAGGGAGTCGGATCAAATATACTATTCAAAAAAAGTAGGGGATATTTGATTTTGGGGGCACAATACTAATATATGCAAATGACTACGAAAAAAGTCACTATAGAACCTAACAGAAGAAACATTTCCAGTTACATGTGACGCCCAAACGCACCAATAGCTACCGCATGGAATGCAGGTGATGCTTGGGATCATCATGGGGGTCCACCCCAAGATTTGCACAACTCTGACTTTGAATGTTACAGTCATTGTGGCATTGAATTCCAGGGTGGAAACATCAGTTTAATTGTTTTAGTGACCAGAAAACAAATTTTGATATGCGTCGGCTTACCCAAAATGAAAGGTTACGTGCCCTTGGCATGCTACAGATCGGCACAACACAGGCGGTTGTGGCGCGGACGATGAATGTTTCTCAGTCTGTCATAAGCAGGCTATGGTCCAGATACCGTGATACACAATCTGTACAGGACAGACCACGCTCAGGTCGACCAAGGGCGACAACTCAAGCCCAGGATCGATTTATCCGTACCTTGGCCTTGAGAAATCGTGTCATCACAGCAAATCAGATCAGCGCTCGTCTTCAAACAGACACTGGTGTGAGAGTGAGTGGCCAGACGATTCGGAATCGACTGCATAGGGGTCACCTTCGCGCCCGACGTCCTCGCGTGATCCCATGTTTGAGAGATCATCACATTCAGGCAAGACATTGTTGGTGTAGGGATCGTCAACACTGGGATAATCGACGCTGGAGCAATGTGATGTTTTCAGATGAGTCAAGGTTCACTGTTGATTTTTTGGACAGACGTAGGAGGGTGTGGCGTCGTCGAAACGAGCGTTTCCAAGACGTTAACGTCATCAGACATGATCGATTTGGGGGTGGTTCTGTTATGGTGTGGGGAGGCATCACTGTTGCTGGAAGAACGGCTTTACATGTTGTTGCAGGGCGTGTTACAGGCCAGTACTACCGGGACAACATCTTGGCAGTCCATGTTGTGCCGTTCGCACGACGTCATGGCCGCCGTTTCATCTTCCAGGATGACAACGCAAGATGTCACAGGGCCAGGATCGTTACAGGTTACCTCCAACAACAGAACATCACCACATTACCTTGGCCAGCATTGAGTCCCGACCTCTCCCCCATCGAGCATGTCTGGGACATGCTTGGACAGAGGTTACGTCAACGTCAACAACGTCCTGCCAATGTCCAAGAACTTGCTGCTGCGTTGCAACAGGAATGGGACAATCTGGACCAAAATGACCTTAGACGTCTCATTAGGAGTATGCCACGTCGGATCAATGCTTGTTTGGCAAACAGAGGAGGATTTACCCGTTGTGATGCTGTGGTAACTTTGCTGTTTGACCCCGGGTATCATTTTACCCTTATAATGGTCAGTCTGTGCCTTACTTAGTCTAACGATCATTTGGAATAAATCGATGAATGTGAATTTCATTTCATTTTGTCATTTGTTTCTTCGTCAGTTTCATTAGGTGACTTTAATAACACTTAAAAATCAAATATCCCCTACTTTTTTTGAATAGTATATGATCGCCCAACTACCTAAATGTAGGCCTACCTACATTATCTAGCATTATACTGTAGATAATTTAAGTAAAAATAATTTTATTTTACTTTGCGCTATTCATGTTCTAACAATTGAGAAGAGTGATTGAACAGTTAATAAGACTCTAGTTCAATTAATAAATAAAATAAATGCCATGGGCATCACTCGGGCATGGATCATGGGTAGCACGATTCTGCCAAATCGACCCAAAATCCACCATTCCTAACTAAAGGAACTATATAGTACATTGTCATTGATGCCTTTATTATGATAAAAGAATTATATACCATAGGGGTGTGTTCAGGAATTTGAGCACAGGTCACCCAGGTGAAGGGGTCTGGGTTGGAGAATATGTCAAGTTAGACGTGAGGTCTGGGGGGTATTACAGGTAGGCCCACTAGCGAATTTTATAAAATCAAATGCTCTGAGACAATATTTCTGCTCATTTAGGTGCACATATGTATAGAATAAGTCAGAGTGAGGCCAAAATGTTTGTTCCACGTTAAATATGTCTGGGTATGCTCCTGAATTAGACTAAAAAAAACACTTCATTAAAATGTTTTAGTCTCCTTTGTTAATTATTGCACAAAAGTTAAATGGCATTCCCACTGTGACTGCTGATTATAGCTAGAAAATGATCCATGAATTTATTTTTAGGTCAGGTATCTGGTGATGACATCGTATAGAAAATGTCAGAAAATGAAACGGCTGATATAATACTGATACCACAAGATGTAGACAGAGATTATAATGATTTAATTGTAAGTGTTGATAGTTATAAATCAACATATATATTCTTACTATAGTAGACCTAGAGGCTGTAGTGTACTGCATGTACATGTATATCTATTCCACAGAGCACCTTTTGAACATTAAGGGATTAACCCAATCTATATTACTGAGAATCTCACAGATATTATTATTATTCATTTCCCCAAAGAAACTCTAAAGTCACTTTTTGGTACACCAGTAGGCTTATTCTGTAAAGATAAAGACATTTTATTTGAGAACCCGAACCTGTACCTCCCCCCCAAAAAAATGATCCCATAACACACGTACATGTAAGGTATGTTCTACATGTTGGTGCCATAAACAATGATAACTGTACATCTATATGTATTCCTAAATGTATCCTATTACACACATACGTGTATGTGACTACATGTATGTAGGTGCCAGTGGTGATAAAAAGAACAAAATCTGTGAGCTGTTTCCCGATAATATTTTGGCAGTAAAAATACTCTGAAAATGAAAGTTGTTATACGTAAACTCAATATAAGAGTCTCTGAGTAGGCTGTAGTGGTGCTTTCCAGGCACACTTCATTAACCACAGTGGCTCCCTTATATAACATGCTATTGATGAAAAAAGATCTAACTTGTTATCTCTTCATTTCAATACATCTGTCTTCATTAGCCCAGCCGGAGGGTTGGATGGCTGAATGGTTAGCACGTGCGCGCTGTATCATAAGGTCTGTCATTGAGTCAACTGGCAGGGTTTCGATTCCCCGGTTGTGTGTGACAAGGAGTGGGGTTGCATGTCCAAACTTGTGGGTTTTCTCCGAATCTTTCGGTTTCCTCCCACTGCTAGAGACCCCTATGCGCAAGCGAATTATTGAAATAAAATTAAATCATGTGTTAGTCCTGAAATGACATAGTTCATGTTGAGTTTAGTTTCCCCTCTCTCTCTCTCTCTCTCTCTCTCTCTCTCTCGCTCTCTCTCTCTCTCTCTCTATATATATATATATATATATATATATATATGGACCTGGCTATAAGTGGTGATGTATGTTGTACATAAGACTGGACAAAGTCATTATAATTTCTGTAATAATTTGTTTAAATTGAACAGGTACTAGGTCTAGATGAAGATAATGATGATAATCCTATAGAAATAGATTCAGATACAGGTACAGATAGTGATATACTTTTCTCGGAAGGTACTGATGAAGATGTTGAGGTAATCATATTATTTATCAATATTGACAGCCAGAAGTTGTACTCACGCTGAATAGTTTAAGGCATGCGCTTTAGATCATTAGGTCTGTTATTGAGTCAAGAGGTGTGCTTTCGATATCACTCTTGTACATGACAACAGATATGGTCGTCTATCCAACCTTGTGGGTTTTCTCCCACTGCTAAAGAACCTACTGCACACATAGAAATAAAAGTGACTGTTGGACATCTATGAAGAGCTGGTGCAAATGTTGCTATCTGGGTAATTTTTCCCTCATAGCATGATTCGTTTTCATCAGCCCAGTTTATGCAGAAAAATTGGATTCTAACTAAACCACATTTCATTTATGATTATTGTGTCTGCCTTTTAACATTCTACTTTCCCTCATATCATATGGGGGATCACGTGGCTAAGTGGGTAAGGCGCTGGCTCGCTAGTCTGGAGGTCGGGTGTTCGATCCCTGCATTGGCCGAGAAAGTTCATCTCGATTTTCCGGCGTGGTTTCCCCTTGTCAGTGATGCAGAACGGAGGGCCTGACAAGGACAGTTGCCTAGTTGTTCGGATGGGACGGAAAACCGAGGTCCCGTGTACACATTGGCGTGCACGTAAAAGATCCCTTGGCAGTTGGAATTTGATATAAGAGTAGGCCGTAGCGCAGCTGCCCGGGCAAAATTTCCCTCATAGCACACTGTATGGCGTATGCCCGTCTTCAATTAGCCCAGGTTAGGTGCAGAAGAGTAGGACGTTAAACCCCATTTCATTTCATTTCTCATATCATATGCTCGTCTTCATTAGACCAGTCTATGCAGTTAAATAGGACGTTAAACCCCAGTTCGTTTCATTTCAGCAAGTTTAAAGTAATTCAGGATTTAGTCAGCTTTGTTTTAAAATATATTTGTTATCATTATAGGTTGAGATTATTCGCCCCCCTAATCCAGTACCGGTACCTCAACACTTGATCAACTATGAAAATGAAATTGAAAATAATGATGCTGTACCATCACTTCCTGTGTTCCCACACTTCATCAACCATGAAATTGAAAATAATGACACTGTACCACCTCTTCCTGTGTTCCCACCAGGATTGGCCTTACCCACAGCCCCGGGTACGTCAGAGACAGACACAAATAGCCATAATTCAGGGGATAATTTAAATGTGGTTACCATTCCTACCCCTCGAATTGATCATAATATAAGAGCTACCTCAGTTCAAGACACAGTTCTTCCAATACCTAGTGTTGTTGATGATAATATACTAACAACTAATGATAGTCCAGTTTCGGAAATCCAATCTTTACCTCAACCTCAAGAAGTGGAGGTGGGACCTGTAAATATAGATAATGTTCTACCAGTGGCATCGACTAGCGGTGCCTCAAGAACCATTCCTCATTCCACATCAATCGGTGCTCAATTGTCTCCCCTTCCGGCCTCTATTGCTACTGCCACACCCAGACCTGTGATAAATAGCCCTTCAAGATCCCCAGCCCAGTCTCGTGAAGTGAGAGTATTAATCGATCAGAATCAATCCATTGATGAGTTTAGATCACCTAAAAAACGAAAATTGATGTCCCCGGTGAGGAAGAAGTCACCCGAGAAAGAGGAATCTGATGATGAGGGTAACGTAAGTTCTTATTTTATAGTATCCATCTCTAAATTCTAGGAATGTTGGTGCCAATTTCATACTCAGCTTACCTGAAATTAGCCCTCCATCTTGATCCAGTATTGTTATGCCAATGTCTATCAACATCCTAAATATCTTGTGGATAAAACTAAACCAAGATTTTTTAAGAATATTGGTGATTCTTACCAACACAGTAAATGTATGAAACGTCCAATAAAAATCCAGACCAATACAGAGCTGATCGAAAAATGTCATAAACCTTTTTGATTGGCTGCTATATCATCAGTGTCGCAGTAAATACTTGACATTATATATAATTTCAGACTTGTCCTATTTGTTTTGAATTGTGGACAACATCTGGTATTCATCGATTGATATCACTGAAATGTGGTCATTTGTTTGGTCAGAGGTAAATCAAGACTTCTATTCTCTTCTAGCTTATTGAAAAGAGTCCACACAGCATTAAACATTCATAAGCTGCATGTGCATTTGTGGTGGATTAAGGGAGATGCTGCCTGGGCTGAAACCAGGGGCTCTAATTGTTCATGTGTAAAATAAAATTCATATGCGGATAGACCAGATGAGGGAGTGGTGCCAACTGTTAGCAGCGTGGTTTATGGGGGGATACTAAACATTGTACCGAGATCTTATTTAATGCTACGTTGCTTCAACATAAGATGTACCTTATTTTTCGGGGTATAAGTCGATACTTTTTTCTGCTGAAGTCCGGCCTTCGACTTATATACGGATGAAGGTAAAATATGACATCTTGAAAATTTTTTTTAAATAACCGTAGCTCCACTATGTCGCACGCACTATCGTCTAAAAGAAAACTAATTATTACACTATTCCAATTGAAATATTTGTAGATGTTTCGTAGCTTGTTTATTTCTTTATTTAAAAACATACCCCTTCAAAATATTATCATCATCCCGAGAATATGCCATCTTAATAGAATCTTTACTCGTCAAAATTGGCACATTTCCATTTCTCGCAATTTCACGCATCTCGGGTGGTTTCTACTTTTAGTTTTCTGTTAGATTAACCAATCATACAATATGCATTGTTTTATTCTATTTTTAGTAACATACTTTATAACCACGTTTGATTAGAAACAAAGCCTACATTGTATTATATTTATTGTATATATTGAAATAAAAACTAGTTCAAATAAACCAAGAGCACAACTTGGAATATTACTAAAGTTTGTCCTACATTTATAAACTGATTATTTTACATAAATTAATTAATATTATGGGCCAATTTTTCTTTGCGTACACCGGCACTGTATTAGACAAGGATAACAGTCCGGAAACTCGATAATAGATTGCTACTGTGAAGTTGAAAAACATTCGTCTTATATACCGCAGTCCTTCATGTTTATAAAATTGTGCAGGAGCCATAAAAAGCTCTTGATATCTTGAATATATGCAGTTTAAAAGTAAACAAAAACTGAAAGTAGTTTATTAATCTCAATATTTAGGAGAGCGATTTAGCTAATTTGCAGGAGTCTTTAATGACTCCTTCGAAGGAAAGCCGACGTGCGTCGAGAGGAGCAGGAGCGAAAGCTCACCTTAAACGTGAAGGACTATACCGCATCGACTTATATATGGATGGAGGTTGGAAAAACAGTAAAATATGATGATTCGACTTATACTCCACATCGACTTACACCCCATAAAATATGGTAATAATAATACAAATAAAAATAAGTAGACAGACAGACAGACAGATAGATAGAATAAGTGATTATATTAATAATCATGTGGATGAAATTGAATATCATTACAATTCAATTCAATAGAATTTCTTGCTTACTGACGTAGTTATCAATTTGATGGAAGGACCCCCGTTTCAATTACAGTCCATGGTCCCTTACAACCATAATCAGATCCCACTCTGATGCACATAAACTTGTTTTAGTGACTTTCTCAATATCTCAATATTAATTTTTTACCATTTAGCGTCACATTCACCATTCTTGTAGTTTCTATGATCATTGTAAATTTTTACGGGTATGATTTTGTTGTAGTTGTATCCAGAAATGGTTAAAAGGTCAAGGTGGTAAATGTCCACAGTGTAATGCCAAAGCGAAACGTCAAGATATTCGACTGGTTTATGCGAAGTCTATACGAGTAAGTCATTATTTATAATTGTCAAATCATAACAATTTTAGATGTACCTGATAAAATGTCTGGCACTGACATGAATGATGATGATGTACCTGACATTCTTCGTGTTTGTTTCTGACAGGTATAAAAACATAAAGAAAAACCAAGAACAATTTGTGCCAGACATAAGGAGAGGTGCCAGACATTGTCAGTGACATGTCACTTATTCCTATATGACAGGGGCGGTGGATGGCCGTATGGTTAGCCCGTGTGCGCTGTATGATAAGGCCTGTCAACTGACGTGGTTTCGAATCCCCGGTTGTACGTGACAAGGAGTATGGTGGCCTGTCCAACCTTGTGGGTTTTCTCCGGGTCCTCATGTTTCCTCCCACTGCTAAAGACCCCTTTGCACAAGTGAATTATTTAAATAAAATTAACCCATATGTAAGTCCCGAAATGACCTAGTTTTTGTTGAGTGAGTGGACGTTAACACCCCCCTCTCTCTCTCTCTCTCTCGCTCTCTCTCTCTCCCCAGATGACAGATGATAATTGGGTATTATGGATCTCAACATCATGTTGTGATTAAGCTTGCATCAGTTTATTCTCAGAAGTGGGGATTGGGTGGCTGAATGGTCTAAGGTCTGTCTTTCAGTCAAGTGTCATGTTCTTGATTCCCCACTTTCCTGTCCAGCCTTGTGGACTTTCTCTCGGTCACCCAGTTTCCTCCCACTGCTAAAGACCCTTACACACAAGCAAATTATTAAAATAAAATTGAACCATATGTTATTCCCAAAAGATCTAGTTTGCGATGAGTGGGGTTAAACCCTTCTCTCTCTCTCTCTCTCTCTCTCTCTCTCTCTCTCTGCCTTGTTTTATGACATGTTATGAAACTTCTCTCTGTGTGTATTTGTTAGGCATTAGACACTAGTGAAAGGGATAGAGCATTACAAGAACTGGCAGCAGAAAAAGAAGCCAAACGGAAAACTGAATTAGAAGCAGCTCAGATCCGATTAAAATATCATCAAACATTGGAAGAATGTAAGACATTACGTATTGAACAGGACAGATTAAGAAGAGAAATGGCATTAATGAGGTATGAGCTGACTTATTTTATTAGACAATTCTGGAAGACTGACCACATGACTGATATCAGGTGTATCATAAACTGTTGCCATATACTGCCTTGTACATGACACTTTCCATAGGATTATCAGAATAGTGTCACATTTTTCAGAATGAATGTTGTGCTATGGCTGGCATCTCATGCTATCTTGGTATGATGGTAGAGTTCGATTCTGTTATGGTAGAGTACCTTTAGTAGTAAAAAAAATGCTGTTATTGAACCTTGTTTCTGTTCAATTATTATAGGAAATGTTTTATAGAAATTGTTTCCTGTGTGACATTTGTAGTTTTCAGTCGCCAGATAGACTTAAATTTTGTACTTATGATCAGTACCTGTATTTTTTATTATGTTGTGTTTTTTGAGCAGAGTGGGGATGTGCTCACTCTGAATGAATTAAAAACTATATTTTGTTGTACGTAACAGTCCATTTACACCTGTTTTTATTTGACTATGTTGTTAAATGTAAAATGATAATGAGTATTATTTTCTATTTAAACAGATCTCAGTCTAATTCTGGTAGTAACACTAGTTTCTCCCTGACTCAACCTTCAACAAGTGCACATGTACAATCTGTGTGTAAATGTGAGTTTATACATGATCGAGTAATAAACATATCTGATGTTGGTAAATGTCGAGTTCTTGCCTTTAGTTCATCATTAGCTGCTCTGTTAGTTAGTCAGCCATCTGCTAGTCAACTCTTTAAAGGTTTTGGTATTAAAAAGGTAACTGACTTTTAAATATTTTCATTTTGTATTATTTCTTAGATTCATTATGTGTGGTTTAATGGTCAAGATTGAGACATTAAGTAATATATTGATACTGCACGAGGGTATTAGTCCGAGTGATGTTTCACTATATTATGCAACGTCTTGCTCAAGGCCATTATTGTTTTATTAATTAGTTATATATTTTATTGATTAGTTTTATATTTTATTAATTATTTATATACATTATTTTATTAATTAATTGTATATTTTATTAATTAGTTTCATATTTTATTAATTAGTTACATATTTTATTAATTAAAATAATTAGGCTCATATTTTATTAATTAATTTTTTTCTATTATGAACAGATCAGTACAATTGATTTTAAAACATCCCAGTATTTAACAATACATTCTAAAGTTATAAGAGATATATGTTTTCACCCGGTATATGATGATGGTATTTTACTCAGTTGTGGTATGGATAAATGTATTAAAATGACCAGTATAATGAGTAATACAGTTGTACAATCGTGAGTATCGTATAGGTTTTCATTTTTTTGAAAAGTTAAATTTTGAGTGGCTGATGTTCATTGGCATTTATTGGACATCTTTGTAAATATTGTACAGAATTGAACCATATTTTACTGATATATTCCTGTTCATGATTTAACTTTCACAATCCTGTAGTTTGCAAGGGATTCAAAATCCTTCAACTGACCATCAGTGCTTGAAAAACAACATGTCGAAGTTAACAGATTGGACACAAAGAATAGATGTGATGATTTTCAGTAAACCAATGCTATATTTTCATTTACATTGCACACATTCATACTCAAAATCTCCATATGCAACTAAGCTGACTTGTTATTTGTCTCATTTATCCAGTCTATGCCCAGTTGAGAAATCAATCTGCCAGTCATTTGACATGTCAGAAAATACAAATATTTAAATTCATCTCACTTCCAGTTTGTCAACTGTTTTCAGTTTAAGTGTATATATTTTATTAAAGCATAAATAAAGGACAGGAAAGTGCACAAATGGCAAAAATCCCTATAAAATGTCTGAAAATAGAGTAATGTAAATGGGTTAAATATATATATTACAGTTATGAAAGTACTCTACCTATTTGGAGTTGTGTATGGAATACTGATAATAAGTCATATTTTTATGCTGGTCTACAGAACGGTACAGTATTAGAGTTTGATACAAGGAATACATCCGAAGCTGTACAAGAGATAAATAAAGAAGGCAGTAAATCACCAGTTGTAGCTTTACAATATATACCTAAAGATGATACAGCTGACTTTAAGTTAGTTTATTTGACATATAATTCAAGGCTGTGACAAATTAACTCGTTACAGAAAGTAATGCTCTCAGGCACTACCTGTACAGTTGTAGCTTTAAAGTATATACCTAAAGATGATACAACTGACTTTAAGTCAGTTTATTTTACATATTAAAGATGTATTATTTTAAGAGCTAAATTTGCCAAATGCAGATCTTTCTTTTGGAGTTAAATGTGATATAAATTATTTTAATTAGACATTTATTTACATGACAAGCCAATAATCAAGTCTCTAGATCATCGTATTGATGTGATTTTGAACGGATTGAAACATACTCGCTATTTAATAATTTAATTTAAAAATGGGTAACTGAGACTGTTTATTATTGTGACAATGGTAGCAATAAAAATTGAGACTTTGACTGAAATTTACTTTATTCTGAGAGAAGATATGAATGTTTTAAGTTTGACAATAATAGTGTAGTCTCAATTGTCATTGCTACGAAAACCGAAGTCTCTATTTTCCATTTTAGTGTTAACTGCTTAAATGGTGCATGTGTTCTCATCCAATTAATAAATGAAATGAAATGAAATGGGGTTTAACAGCCTACTGTCGTGCTCCGAGCTGGGCTAATGAAGACTGGCATACGCCATACAGTGTGCTATGAGGGAAATTTTGCCCGGACAGCGGCAGTGCGGCCTCCTCTTATATCGAATTCCAACTGTCAAGGGATCTTTTACGTGCACACCAATGTGTACATGGGACCTCGGTTTATCGTAACGTCCGACTGACTAGACAGCTTTCCTTGTCAAGCCCTCCATCACAGACAAGGGGGAACCACGCCCGAAAATCTGGATGAACTTTCTCTGCCAAAGCAGGGATCGAACACCCACCTCCAGGCTAGTGAGCCAGCGTCTTACCCACTTAGCCATCGTGACCCCTCATCAAATTAATATTGCAGCAATATAGATCATTCATTTGCTTATGAATTACTTATGCCTGTAAATGGTATTAAGAGCTTCAAAAGAAGTATGCATGTATACTGCATCTTTTCCATGACACATTTGGATATAAAATATTCAACTGAAGATTGACAATCCGAGATATTTGAATAAAGAGTGATATAAGTTGTCTATTGTTGTTTTTTTTCCAGGCATGAAGGATTATTGGTAGGTCAGTTAGACAGAACAAGTTTTTATGAGAAAAAGACAGACAATGAAATGAGACTTCATCTTCTGCCACTGGATGGTAAGTATGACACAGAATTAAATCTTATTCATTCTTTTATAAATATTTGAATGGTAAGGTCATTTTTAAGGTTTGTCATGTCATATTTCTATTTGAATAAAAGAAAAACTCTCCATGAATAGGATTTGAGATATTTGTATTCGTAGTGAACCATATGAAAATATGGATTACTCGACTTCCCGGGAAAAAATAGAGAAAAATAATCATTTATACATTGAATTTCAAAAATGTCTGAAACTACTGCCTCGGATCCCTCGACTGTATCAAACCATGTGAGTCACAGAAACGAGTATATGACCTTTAATTAGTTCACAGCTATCTATGTGACACAACTGCTTCTGGCACTACCGGGAACAGTAGTTTCAGTATTCTTCCCCCCCCCCCTCCCCTGCAAGTCTTTAATTAATAGGATATGCCTTATATGTTTTAATTAAAGTTTTAAAATAGTAAGATCTCTTCTTTCTAATTTAGGTAGTTTAACAAGTTTATGTTTTGAACGTTCAACACGTCAACTGCTGGCCAGTTTTAGACCGTCTGCTAAATATCCATATGCTAGACATCAGGTAATTGTTTATAAATAGAAGTACATCAATACATTCTATTAAAGCGGAAATTGTAAATTTTCTAAGAAAGTCAAAACGTAATTATTTCTGTCTTTTGCTCAATAGGTTGTCAACTCACAATTATACGATCATAGGTGTCATTCTCACACTTAAAACTCATTTACACAGGAAATAATAACACAATTACCTCCCAATTACCTCCCTTGTTTTCTATTCTCCACCATGGAGTAGCTTTTTCAAACGTTTGAAAATGAAGAGGAAAATAATATTTTTGCCAATTTCTCAGCTGGCCATAGTGAATTATAGGATTAATAGGATTATTCTTTAACAAGGTAGGACTGTTTATGGATACCATCTATTTTCAGGCTTTATTTTAATAAATTTTAAAAATATAACTTAAAACTTTGCAATTTCCGCTTTAATTACACTATATACTAAATATATATTCTATAGGGCCCAAAAAGTCAATTGGAATGATAAAGAAAAATGAGTTTTACGGTGCGCACACAATTATGTGAATTCAAATACTTTCAAGGCTATTGAATCAGATGTTTTTGTATTTATTATTTGATGTCAATTAAAACTAATATTTTTTCTCTGCTATGAAATAATTACTGATATTACCAGTGATATTTTAATGAAATCCACAAACAAAATGTGATTGTGAAAATGCCTGTCAACACCTGAATGGTGCCTGACAATGTTTATGACGGGTGATTTATTTCCAGGCCTGTAGCATATTTTAACATCATTAACATATATGTATAAATATTTTGCCAGATCTGTAGGATGACAACAGGAAGTGATTTAAGTGAATCCCAATCAATGGATGATATATGTTCATGTACTCCAGTTCATACATTTAAAGGTAGTAAAACACAAGCTGTATTATCTAGATCAACTTTATTTCCTACTGGTGATGATGCTGATAGATTAATAGTCTGTGGTGGAGATGAACCATCTTCAATGGTAAGATACAAGCTCAATATCTAATATTATTAGGTGGTACTCAATGGCATGTGGGATGGAGTGTGCAGCCCTAATCAGCTGTCTAAATTTCATTTGATTACCTTTACTCAATCCAAAGTTATAATCAAAAATATGTTTTCGACTAGAACATCCCTTTAAGCAATTCAGTATAGAAAACATTAATACAATTTACTTGAACAGTTTTACTTTGTCAATAAACCTACTTTTTACCTGTATATTTTCCTGTTTTGAAGGTTGGTACAGGGAAGTAAGATGTTAAACTTCATTTCATGTGTTATGTGTTATCGTAGATTAATTTGTTTATTACACTTTCCAGTTAATAAATGCCACTAAAAAATTGTAATAGTATTCTTTGAACTTCAGTATTCCAACGTGTTCGACCTATGAAATGTTTTCAGTAATCTGCTTTCAGTTTAATAAGGTTTTTAGGGTGAGAGAAATTTTGTTTAACATCCACTTGACACAAGCCAGGTCATTTTAGGACTAATATATGGTTCAATTTTATTTCAATAATCAGCTTGCGTGTGGGGGCCTTTAGCAGTGCGATGAAACCAGAGGACCTTAGAGCTTGGACAGGCAATTCTACTCCTTGTTACGTACAAGCTGGGAATCGAAACCAAGCCATCTGACTCAATGACAGACCTAATGGTCTAAAGTGCTCTCCTTACACTATTCACTCACCCATCCCCCTGGTATTGAGGTTAATCAGTCCATGTGCAATATTTGAGACGTTTATATTTTGTTTGTATTTATAGGTGTAAACATGGTGACTGTAATTATATTTTGTTTGTATTTATAGGTGTAAACATGGTGACTGTAATTATATTTTGTTTGTATTTATAGGTTTAAATATGGTGACTAATTATATTTTGTTTGTATTTGTGAGTGTAAACATGGTGACTGTAATTATATTTTGTTTGTATTTATAGGTTTAAACATGGTGACTGTAATTATATTTTGTTTGTATTGACGTTTATACATGGTGATTGTAATTATATTTTGTTTGTATTTATAGGTGTATACATGGGATAGTATAAGTGGTAAACAGTTACAGAGAATATCAAGTGGTGGAGTACCAGTAGATATAACATCAATCCAACTTAATGATAGAAAATATCTAGCTGCTTTAACTGATAAACATGTTAAAATATTTAAATGGCAATAATTACATTAAATACTCCCAATAACAATTTCAGTGTGCCTGACATTCCTATATGCTTCTCCAGATTATGGCAGTATGATGTTTTGAAAGGATTTGTAGAGTGTTAAAATACAGATGTGACATCATCCTTCGATGTTCGCGTATCATTATTTCAAATAATGTACAAGGCACAGACAACGTTTCAATCATAAATTATTGAAATGGATGTGCCAGATAATGTCTGTACTGTAAATTGTTTAATAATCTTATGCAAGACATTGTGTAATATATGGATCAACACTCGGGCTGATGTCCTCGTGCAGTATCAATTTATTACTTATTGATTCGCACTAGACCATTAAACTAATGCATAAATCTGCACAAGCAGTAAGTTTAGCCACTAAGTGGCTCAATGACTATGACAGTAAATTAAAGAAAACTGTTTTGAGACCATTTCAAAAGTGGAACCATGTGATACTGCATCTAAACATGCAGTCAGTTCAGCAGACGTGCACATTAAACCAGCCAATAGAAGGTTATAGAAGTGACCCAATAAACATTTCTTGTAAAGCTGTGGTTAAATAGGGAAACTTGAAACCACTTCACATTTCATTACCAATAGTTAAGTGGATATAGCACTACTCAAGTTTAATTGTTAGCATGTTTGTAATATTTTGCATTTTTATGTATTCATAAAACACAAAAAAAAAATGTTTTTAAGATAGTACTTGAAAGATTATTTTTGTAGTTTTATTTAACTGTGTATTTCTATATGAAAATATGTACATAAATATATATCTAAATAACTTAGTTTTTATATTGATAGAAACTCTATCTGAATGAGATAAAACACGGCTGTTTTAACATAACATTGGGATTTTCATTGTTGGTTCCCAGGGGTAGAGATATCATCAGTAGAAGGCTTCATATAGTTTGTACAACTTATTACAGCCTTCACGTCATACTCTAAATTTTTCATTACTAATTTTGATTGGTCCAGGACCCACTTCGATGTAGTAAAAATTGCAGTCATTCTTCAGGAACATGAGATAAAGACTGCTTGCACCATCTTGTTGATGGGAAGTGAGTGAAAAACTGAGATCCCATGACAGATGCAGAGAAAAGATCTTGATGTAATGACTAAGCAACTGTTTGTCTTCAAATGACCATGTTACAGTTCTTGCATTTCCTCTATCAGGTTATAATAGTAAGTGCAGGAGGAGTGCACTACACACAAAACAAAACCATTTATGATCCACTGTGTTTTTATACGCCCACATTTTCATGTGGATGTATATTGTCGTCGACCCTGTCCATTAGGATGACTGTCTGTCCGTCTGTACACAATTTGTTTGTGGACACCCTATAGGTCACAATTTTTATCCGATTTTGACGAAAATTGAAAGATCTTGGTTCCTATCGATATTCGCACATATTGGATCGTAACTTCCTGGATTGTACAAAATATCGTAGAGGACACAATTTTTATCCTATGTAAAAAAACGTTCGAATATATCACAGTTACACAGTTGACTTCGAAAAGCATGAAAATAGAGAAGGACAAAATGACTGCTACATGTACACACATAGTGTAAAAGTATGAATTACCAAGGTAGAAGACCCTCTAGAAGTCACAATTTTTATCCGAAACTTAAAATATATGTGTATATCCAAGAGATCTTGGTTCCTTTTGATATTCGTGCATATCGGACCGTAAATGATCGTACCAAAAGTCACATTTTGTTTTTTTAGCGTGTTCTCTATTGAGCTCTTAGTAAATGTGGGGGGATTTTACCTGGCAATGGCTAGTTGCATACTAATTCCACAAAGTATAAAAACATATAACACACACAAACTGCTATCTGTGCAAAATAACCATTAAGAGCGATAATTAATCTCCAGATTATGTAGAATTTCAAGTTTAAAGATAGGTTGCCAGGCAATGAAACATATGCCCACAGCAACTTGGTCATCCGGGCAGTCAACAAGGCTTGTCGCATATTTTTGTTTTGTCAGTAATGAAAACATTTACAACACACTAAAATCTGATTACGAGTAAGAAACCATTAAGTAATTATCAGAAATCATAAAAATTTGATTTGTTTGTCGCGTGACCTTAAACACTGTGTTAAAATTTATATCAACTTTAGCCACTAGTGCGTTCAAAAGATTTCTCAAGTGATTAAGAGTCATATCTCTGGCGGTAGTTATGTGAAATTGTTAAAAATCAATAGGTTTTCTTCGTCTCATGATCATAAACAATGTGTATAAATTTAAAGTCAATCCGATATTAACTTTAGTCTCTAGTGTCCACAAGATTTTTAAAAGTGACCAAGGGCTATAACTCTGACAGTAATTATCAGAAATTGCTGAAAATCAATAGGCTTCTTGGTCTCATGACTGTAAACACTGTGTATAAAAATAAAGTCAATCGGATAGTAACTTTAGCCTCTAGAGCTTTCACAAGATATTTCAAAGTGTTCAAGGGCCAGAACTCTGGCAGTAATTGTCAGAAATCGTTGAAAATCAATAGACTTCTTCGTCTCATGACCTCAAACACTGTGTATAAATTTAAAGTAAATCAGATATAGAGTGTCAATAAGATTTTTCAAACTGATTAAGGGTCATAAATCTGGCAGTAATTATTGGAAATTGTTGAAAATCAATAGGCTTCTTCGTCTCATGACTATAAACACTATATGATTTAAAGCCAATCGGATATTAACTTTAGCATCCACGAGCAATTGTGGACACCGGACAGACGGACGACCCACGGACGGGAGGCGACAGCAATATACAACCACATTTCAGTGTGGGCATATAAAAACTTGTCTAACAACTTAGTACTTACAATTAATTTTGTTAGCTAAAGTTATTTCATTTTGTATTCTGTGCAAAATAATCATCAAGGGAGATAATTTGTTTTCTGGTGAATTTGGATTTGAATTTAAAAAAAGATTTAAGTAGCAAACTTTTGATTAATTTTATCAGGTAAATCATTTTAGTGAATTCTGTGTTAAATCTGAATACGAAACAGCTAAAATTAGGAGTCAGAAATTAAAGGGAGGTAATTAGTCTCCAAAACAAGTCGGGAAATAAAGTGCAGTAGTTGATCTCCAGAACAAGTCGGGTAATAAAGGGAGGTAATTAGTCTCCACAGTATTTAAGTCAGTTGATTACAAAAGTTTGTAAACCTTCTGCACATCAACAATGTTTCATGATCAGTGGTACTGGTAGAGTTCCTCAAATAAAACAAAAAAGTTGTGTTCTTTTTATCAATTTATTTTGATGGAGATTTTATAATATATGCAATATGTACAACACATTGATGATGTTGAATTTATGTACAAAAAGATACACATGAAGGACATTTGATTCTACAAATGGTCGAAGGTCAAAAATAAATGAATGGGAGATATAAATCATTTTGATCTCCACCATTTGTGATTTAAAAAAATAAATCATGGCAAATTATTTTAAACAACATTTTATACAAAAATTTGAAAACTGTGATGTAATAATACACCACCACACAAATTAGTCAATGGAATGGTGTACTTATTCATAAGCTGGATGTTAAAAATACAAGATATTATTATATGAATTAACACCACAGCTAAGTCAAAACTTTGTTTACCTCAGTTTGTCAGGAATTTGAGCATTAAACCAGGTTTAACAATTTCTACCCATAACACATTCAATTATTCACAACATGGATTAAGGCTCCTGATTGTACTAAAAATCATGTTTTTAGCTTGTGGACACTCTGGATGTCACAATTTTCATCTGACTTGATGAAACTTGAAATGTATGTTTATAACCCAAATATCTTAGTTCCTTTCGATATTCGCGCATATCAGATCGTGACTTCCTGGATATTGGCTTCTGATTGTACGAAAAATCGTATTTAAATATTTTTCGAATATATCACCATTACACCATAATGATGATGGATTTCAAACTTTGTTAAAATCAGACCGAAACTGACAGATAAAATCGCTGCTACTTGTACGCAAATAGTGTAAAAGTATGTAATACCAAGGTTGTGGACCCTCTAGAAGTCCCAATTTTTATCCTATCTTGATGAAACTTAAAATGTATGTTTAAATCCAAAAGATCTGTTCCTTCAGATATTCATGCAAGTCAGATTGTAAATTCCTGGATTATGGCCCCTGATTGTTCCAGAAATCCCATTTTGTTTTTTTAAAGGTGTTCTCTATCCAACCCTTAGAAAATGTGGGCGTATCTTGCCTGGCAACCGCTGGTTGCATATTAATTCGAAAAAGTATCAAAACATATAACACTTACACGAACTGCCATCTGTGAAAAATCTCCAGATTATGTGGAATTTCAAGTTAAAAGATAGGTTGCCAGGCAATGAAACATATGCCCACAGCAGCTTAGTCGTCTGGGCAGTCAACAAGTGTTGACAGTAAAGTGTTTTCATTTGTCAGTAATGAAAACATTTACAACACACTAAAATCTGATTATGAGTAACAACTCATAGTAATTATCAGAAATCATAAGAATTTGTTTTGATTGTTTGTCTCATGACCTTAAACACTGTGTCGGTTGTACGTGACAAGGAGTAGGGTCGCCTGTCCAACCTCGTGGGTTTTCTCCGGGTCCTCCGGTCTCCTCCCACTGCTAAAGATCCCTACGCGCAAGCGAATAATTGAAATAAAAAAAATAAACCGTATGTTAGTCCTGAAATGACCTAGTTTGTGTCGAGTGGACGTTAAACCCCATTTCTCTGTCTCTCTCTTTTAAACACTGTATAAATTTATATTAACTTTAGCCTCTAGCGGTTCCACAAGATTTCTCAAGTAATCAAGGTCCATAACTCTGGCAGTAATTATCGGAAATTGTTAAAAATCAATAGGTTTCTTCGTCTCACGATCATAAACACTGTACAGTTGTACAAGATTTTCAAAGTGATCAAGGGCCATAATGACTGTAAATACCGTGTATAAGTTTAAAGTCTATCAGATAGTAACTTTTGTCTCTAGAATGTCCACAAGATATTTCAAAGTGCTCAAGGGCCATAACTCTGGCAGAAATTGTCGAGAACCAATAGGATTTTTTGTCTCATGACCTTAAACACTGTGTATAAATTTAAAGTCAATCAGATATTAACTTTAGCCTCTAGAGGATCCACAAGTTTTCAAAGTGATCAAGGGCCATAACTCTGGCAGTAATTATTGAAATTCAATAGGCTTTTTCGTATTGTGACCATAAACACTGTGTATAAATTTAAAGTCAATCGGATATTTACTTTAGCCCCTAGGTCGGACAGGGTTGACAGCAGTATATGACTACATTTCAATATGGGCATGTAAAAACTTGGCCAGGAACTTAAAGTTTATTTCATTTTGTAATCCACGCAAAATAATATTCAAGGGAGATAATTAATTTGTTTCCTGGCGAAATAGGATTTAAATTTAAAAATGATTTAGCAAGCATACTTTTGACAAATTTTATCCAGTAAATTTTTTTAGTGAATTCGGTGTTTAATCTGAATATGAACCAGCTAAAATTGTGATGTCAGGAACTAACGGAGGGAAATTAGTCTCCAGAACAAGTCAGAAATTAAAGGGAGGTAATTAGTCTCCAGAACAAGTCATGAGGAGGCAGACCACCATTAATTTCCCCATTGAAATGAAATGTAATGGGGTTTAACATCCTACAGTTCTGCTCCTGTACTGGGCTAATGAAGACGGCCATACGCCATACAGTGTGCTATGAGGGAATTTTTTCCCGGGCAGGGGCACTATCGCCTACTCTTATATCGAATTCCAAATGCCAAGGGATCTTTTACGTGCATTCCAATGTATACACGGGACCTCGGTTTTTCATCTCATCCAAAGGACTAGACAGCTGTCCTTGTCAGGCCCCCCCGTTCTGCACCACTGACAAGGGGAAACCACGTCTGAAAATCCGGATGAACTTTCTCGGCCAATGCCGGGATCGAACACCCGACCTCCAGACTGCCAAGCCAGCGTCTTAACCACCTAGCCACCGTGGCTCCCAATTTCCCCATTGACTTCAATGTTAATTCTGGCCTCTTTGCCCAAATTTTCATTGGGCTGAATGCTTTTCACTACAGACAGAGGAACAAATGGTCATGTCTTTGCACTAACATTTGTATGAGGTTGACCACAAAAATTTTGAGATACACAAACTTGAAGAAGCATACTAAAAACATGTAAGTTGCTGTACATATCGCTGTAGCCAACCTGATAACCCCAATATCCTTCCGCCTCAAAATCATGAATATTTACCAAAACCTGGCAGAAAATGTTAATTCAAACCCTCTAGACGGAAAAATCAACAAAAATGCGCATGCAAAAGGGGAGAAAAGAGATAGAGAGAGAATTGCTATAAATAGACGAATACAATTACCGAGATGGTGAAATTTAATGGTAGTCTGCCTCCATGAAATAAAGTGCAGTAATTTGTCTCAAGAACCAGTCAGGTAATAAAGGGAGGTAATTAGTCTCCAGAGAATTCAAGTATGTTGATCACAAAAGTTTGCAAATCTTCCGCATATTAGCAATGTTTCATGATCAATGGTAGAGTTCTTCAGACAAAACAAAGAAATTGTGTTCTTTTTATCAATTTATTTTGATGGAGATTTTATGATATATGTAATATGTACAACACATTGATGATTTTGAATTTATGTACAAAGACCATACACATGAAGGACATTTGATACTACAAATGATCGAAGGTCAAAAATAAATGAATGGAAGATGTAAATCATTTTGATCTCCACCATTTGTGATTTAAAAAAATAAATCATGGCAAATTATTTTAAACAACATTTTATACAAAAATTTGAGAACTGTGATGTAATAATACACCACCACACAAATTAGTCAATGGAATGGTGTACTTATTCATAAGCTGGATGTTAAAAATACAAGATATTATTATATGAATTAACGCCACAGCTAATTCAAAAGTTGGTTTACCTCATATTGCCAGGAATTTGAGCATTAAACCAAGTTAACAATTTGTACCCATAACACATACAATTATTCACAACAATAATACTAATTTATTTGGGCAACGTTTTGAAGAGTATTTTCCCCCAAGTTTTAAAGCAATGTCACCCAAATATATTAGTAACTGTTAATCCATAAGTATGTGTTATAACTTATTGCTCTATCCAATTACTAACGGCCTCTAAAGGATTATAATTTCTACATGTTATATTACACAGATAAATAACAGATTTATTGTTTTTGAAGATCATAATATGTACAGAAAATAACTTACAATTTAGATAAAGTATTTTAAGATGAAATTATTTGATTCTAGTCCTGATTCACATTTATCTATTGTATGAAATAAAGCACTTGTTGATGACTATAAGAGATGTACATTATGATTTTAATTTTGAATGGCGTAACAGCTTGATGTTATGATTTTAATGGTGTAACAACTTGGTATAACAACTCGATGTGACAGCTTGATGCTATGATTTTAATGGTGTAACAGCTTGATGTAACAGCTTGATGTTATGATTTTAATGGTGTAACAGCTTGATGTAATCTATTAACTGCTGTATGAACTATAGACTGTAGAGATTCACTAGCACTAGTTACTTCCTGTAAGTATATAAATACAACAAATCATAAATTCTTAATTATTCAAATCATAAATTCTTAATTATTCAAAATCTAAAAAGATATCGTCTTAACAAGATATAAAGAAACACATTATCATGCACTTTCTTATATATTTTATTTCTTTGTATCTTGTGTTTCGTTATATCTTGTGTTACACAAGATATAATGAAACACAAGATACAAAGAAACAAAATATATAAGAAAATGCAAGATATGAAGAAACACAAGATATAAAGAAACAAGTTATAAAGATATAACAACACACAAGATATAACGAAACACAAGATACAAAGAAACACAATATTTAAGAAAATACAAGATAAACAAAACACAAGATATGAAGAAACGTAAGATATAAAGAAACAAGTTATAAAGATATAACAACACACAAGATATAATGAAACACAAGAAACAAAGAAACACAATATTTAAGAAAATGCAAGATAAACAAAACACAAGATATGAACAAACGTAAGATATAAAGTAACAAGTTATAAAGATATAACAAAACACAAGATATAATGAAACACAAGATACAAAGAAAAACAATATTTAAGAAAATGCAAGATAAACAAAACACAAGATATAAAGAAACACAAGATATAAAGACACAAGTTATAAAGATATAACAAAACACAAGATATAAAGAAACCCAAGATACATAAGTAAATGCAAGAAAACAAAACACAAGATATAAAGAAACACAAGATATAAAGAAACAAGTTATAAAGATATAACAAAACACAAGATATAAAGAAACAAGTTATAAAGATATAACAACGCACAAGATATAAAGAAACCTGGGATATAACGAAACACAAGATATAATGAAACCTAAGACATAAAGAATAAATTACCAGAGTATCAAGATCCACTATGGCTGTATTATCATCTACTGTTACAGTCATTTTATCACCCCGTATTAATTTACTGGTAGCATCCGGACCAAACATCTCTTGTATCATATCTAACATACATTCTTGAAAATGATGTTTATCAACACGAATAGCCCGGGGTACAGCTAGAAATAAAATAAAACATTTCAAATACTATTTCTATTTGAAAAGCCCCGGGGAAGAACGATCTAAGTCACCTTTTCAATGAACCCCAGTTAATGGCTCCATCTGGTAGCAAATTGTATAAACTTTCTGTGGAACAATCAATTTCAGGTAAAAACGATCGGAGTCACATCGAACCAAGGCCCTTCTGAAATTTGGCTGAAAAGTGGAAGTCAGTTGTTGTACTGGTAATTATGATTCGTATTAAAAATCATTTTGAAGTTGTAATTAAACCCACTCGTTCTGTTTGTGTCAAGCATTCTCGTCCAAAAGTCTATTTTGTCTTTTATGTGAAAAGACAAAAATGTGACTTAGATCGTTCTTCCCCTGGACTCTTCATTTGTTGTTTTTTTCTTCATATTTCAGTTATATAAATGAGTAGCTTGGGGTACAAAAAATAAATCATTTCAAATATTATTTCTGTTTTCTTTTCACATTTCAATTATATAAATCAGAACCTACTTTTCACAATTTATTTTGGATAAATAACCATACCTTTTTGTGGCATGGGATCTCTTTCAGCTCTTAATATAACTGTAACAACAGCATCAGCATACATATCTGTTACTGGATTTGAAGTCCACTAAAATAAAACAAATTTTCAATGTATATAATATTCAAATTTAGGTGTACAATGAGTTATAAGAATTTTCACTATACATTTCGAATTCCAACTGCAAAGAAAGCTTTAAAATGAAGTACAAATGTGGGATCGAAACAACACGACTTCACTCAATGGCAGACTTTGTGTGTGATCTAAAGTGCACACATTAATCCATTCGGCCACCCAATCCTCCATCATCAAACTAAAGGTAAATATTAAAGGACAATATAACAACTTTTCATCTTCAACTGAATTATCAGTGAAATGAAATTCAATCGTTTGACTGTTATCGCTCGGTACTTCAGCCAGTTATATAGAAGGACAACTCGTGTTTTTCATATTTGACGTCACTTCCCATTTCTTCACGTGCTTGTTACACATCTCCCGTAGCAATGATCTTTGTGTTAAAATTATATTTGGAATGTATTTAACCAGTTCTATCACATATGTAATAATGACTGACACCAATATTGTCCTTTAAACTAAATTTGAATATTATTTTTGACTACAAACCTCAACAACCACCATTCTAGTAGAATCAAATATAATTGTAACACTTTTAAATACTCGTAACGCTGGTTTCTCTTTAACTTTTATATGTTCCATATCCCCAGCTAACTGTGTCAGATAAAACTGTAATAATGGTATGGTACCAGTGTAGGCTATACTCAATCTCTGTGTTACTGTACTCATAGCTAAATCTGTATAATCTGAAATATAGATTACATCTCAATTACTATACTCAATCTCTGTGTTATTATACTCATAGCTAGATATGTATAATCTGAAATATAGATCACATCTCAATTACTATACTCAATCTCTGTGTTACTGAATTCATACCTTAATTGGAAATATTGATTATAAATTTTTTACTTAACAGAGCCACACAATTTGACCCCGGTGTTTCATTAGTACCACTCAATTAGAATCAAAGTATTGATGTTCCAAATTAAATTGTTTGTCTGTCCTTACGCACACATCAAATTCAGCCATCTTAGTATTTCTTTACAATTGAACATCGGTCAATATATATGGCCAATTATTGTTATGTGCCGATAATATGATTATCGGCAGATACTGGTGTAACCGATGATAGGCCCACCTCTAATACCCATGTCCTGTGTTTATTGGTCACGTGAAATGAAATGAAATGAAATGGGGTTTAACGTCCTACTGTTCTGCTCCGAAATGGGCCTACTCTTATATCGAATTCCAACTGCCAAGGGATCTTTTACGTGCATGCCAATGTGTACTGGGGACCTTGTTTTTTTCGTCCAATCCGAATGACTAGACAGCTGTCCTTGTCAGGCCCTCCGTCCTGCATCACTGACATGGGGGAACCATGCCGGAAAATCTGGATGAACTTTCATGGCCAATGCAGGGATCAAAGACCCGACCTCCTGGCTAGCGAGCCAGCACCTTACCCACTTAGCCACATAGAAACTTCACAGGATACAAATCAATGCTATCATTTATTCATAAAGCCAACTTCCAGTACTCTAGTTTTACAAACTCAATTAAAACCTTCAGCCTATACATTATCTTAATAATAAGTGCAGGGAGTGCACCACACTTATTAACAATTACACAAGACAAACCTATGGACAGGATACAATATACAAAATCACCTCAAACAAAAACCGTATTAGATCAAGTGAATGGATGGGGGGGGGGGGGGGGTAGAATTGAGCATCCACTGCGCTGTACAATCCTGGGCTTGAAGTGATACAAGCTTTATTCAAAATGAAAAACATAACTTACTTGGTAAATCTTCAGGAGCCATCACATGATAATTAAAATTTCTTTTCACTAATATTCCAGATATCTGTTGACCATCTTTTGGTTTCTGTGCAGCTAAACTTCCCACAACCTACGATAGATAAAATATAATTTATCTTGCAGATTTTTATTTTAAATTTTTAAAAAATGATAAAATTACAATATTCAATTCTCGCTACAGGCATGAATATCATCAGCATACTAACATCATATATTTAGATGGCTATCACATTGAACAAGAGTAATAATTAAATGAACATTTATACAATAAACCAGTGGTTCTCAACCCTTTTTTGCCAACGGCACACCTTGGAACACATGAAAAAATAGCGCAACACAGTATTTACAAAGATATGATTAATTGAACATTTCTTAACATTCAGTGGCAGTGGCACCTACATGTATCAGTGTTTCATGGGTATCTTTTTAATTCGACTGAATCCAAGTCAAGGGATTATCTATGATTTAAATAATCAAATAATCAATTTGAGTACTCTTGAGGGTGGATTAAGTCTTGAAAAAATTAGACATTGTCTTGAAATGATCATTTTGTATTAAAATTCTTACTTTAGCCATTTTTTCTCCTCTAAAATGTAGCTCAACACCAACAGTATTACGGGGATTATGTACATCCATCTTGTATTCTTCATTATCTTCATATTCTCTAACTAAGGCAGCTTTCAATCGACTCATTTCATTGGCTTCTCCATGAACTAAAACCTGTTATACAAAGCGATGTTATGAATTTGTCAACATATTATGTAAATTATACATATTTAAAATACAGATGTACCCTCATCCTTTGATGTTGGCATACCATTATTTAATATAACGGTACGGGCAACTTGCCAATCGTACATTATCTATACTAGATGAAATATTGGACTCGCGTGACGTATTTCATTGAATATCGCGTGCAGGATAGTGTCTGTATTTAAAGTTATTTAATGGTCTCGAGCTAAAGACATTGGGAAATATATTGAAACAACACTCGGCTTAAGCCTCGTGCAGTATCAATACATTACTTAATGTCTCGCTCTCGACCATTAAACTGTATAAATAGAACAGGAATATGATTGTAATTGTTAATTGGAGATCAACATCATATTGTTACAGTTCGAAATCATTACCATACAAAATAAATGAATCTGACCCTTTTCTTTACCTGTAGAAATTTTCTATGATTCAAAGTGAAATCTGCTCTGCACAATCCATCCAAGTAATCTAGTGTACACATTGTTCTATCTAGACAACATTTTATATCAATGTCAAATTGTAGCCTTGACTACACAACAAATTTACAAAATTTGAGAGCAATTATCTAAAATCTCGAAAATAGTTCTAACAGGCCAGACAAATCCATGTACTTTGGTACTGTCTTTCAAAGTACTTTCTTAAAATATTCATCTTTAAAATCATGAACAAACAGATTTTATACAGAGAGAGAGAGAGAAATGGTGTTTAACGTCCACTCGACACAAACTAGGTCATTTCGAGACTAACATATGGTTGAATTTTATTTCAATAATTCGCTTACGCGTAGGGCTCTTTAGCAGTAGGAGGAAACCGGAGGACCCGGAGAAAACCCACGAGGTTGGACAGGCGACCCTACTTCTTGTCATGTACAACCGGAGATTCGAAACCACGCCAGTCGACTCAATTACAGACTTTATGATACAGCGCGCGCATGCTAACCATTCAGCCATCCAACCCCCCTTTTATACAGAGAATTCACATACATATATATCATAGCAGCAAACTGTTAACTACTTACTACATGCGGTGGTTTTAATTCTCGTAGAAATTCACTGGTTTGTTGATAATCTGCGTGAGCCGAGAATGAAATATAATCAACAGAACATTTCATTTGTAATTTCTGACCCGTCATTGTCACAATTTCTTCTGGTTCTGATAGAATATGCTACAAAATAATAAAAAAAAAAAACAATGTACATTTTAACAAATCCTTTCATAAAACAAGCATGTGGATGTTCCGAAGAAACAAATCTTACAAATAAAACATGCACACCTTAGCTAATGATACAAATAGACCATACACACCTTAGCTAATGTTACATATAAAATATACACAACTTAATGTTACATATAAAACATATACACCTTAGCTAATGTTACATATAAAACATACACACCTTAGCTAATGTTACATATAAAACATACACACCATAGCTAATGTTACATATAAAACATACACACCTTAGCTAATGTTACATATAAAACATACACACCATAGCTAATGTTACATATAAAACATACACATCTTAGCTTATGTTACATATAAAACATATACACATTAGCTAATGTTACATATAAAACATACACATCTTAGCTTATGTTACATATAAAACATATACACCTTAGCTAATGTTACATATAAAACATACACACCTTAGCTAATGTTACATATAAAACATACACACCATAGCTAATGTTACATATAAAACATACACACCTTAGCTAATGTTACATCTAAAACAAACACACCATAGCTAATGTTACATATAAAACATACACATCTTAGCTTATGTTACATTTAAAACATACACAGTTACACAAAAAAGCTAATGTTACATATAAAACATACACATCTTAGTTTATGTTACATATAAAACATACACACCTTAGCTATTGTTATATATAAAACATACACACCTTAGCTAAAGTTACATATAAAACATACACACCTTAGCTAATGTTAAAACATACACACTTTAGCTAATGTTACATATAAAATATACACACCTTAGCTAATGTTCCCTCTACACAATAACCAGCTATAATACAACCATTACGTTTATCGGTACACCAAGCTTCAAATAATTCCCGTGATAAACCACTCTGCATCATACCAGGTGATGCTAATACTACTGATGGTCCTATATCTTCAAATTGTTCCATACTCTGTATATACATAAGTTTATTTTGGTAATCAATAATATCAGTATCGAATTTTGTAGAATTTTAATGGTACAGAACAGTAAATAAAGTATTTCAAAATAAAATTGGGTGTACCGTCTTTCTTTTCTTCTGCATCAACTGGGCTATGAACATAGACATAGCCTGTAAATGTATGCAGTGTAGTAATAAAAAAGTAATTTTGGCTGGAGATCAGCTAAACAACCTACTCTTATTTCAATTACCGAAGGTCAGGAGATCTTTAATGTTCTGCCAATGGCATACAATCTTGGTTTTTAGCCTGATCCAAATAACCAGATAATTTTCTGTGCCAGGTGCTCCTTCCTGCAGCACTGTCGAGGGTAAACCAGGCCTGAATGTCCCACTGTTTATGCCCATATAGTGCTGTGAGGGACATTTTGCCCAGACAGTGGCACTACTACGGCCTACCCATATTTCGAATTCCAATTGCCAAGGGTTCTTTTATGTGTATGCCAATGTGCATGGGGGACCTTATTCCCCATCCAAACTACTAAACACTATCCTTCACAGCCCCTTCGTCCTGATCCACTGACAAGGGGAAACCGTGCAGGAAAATCCTAAGGAAATGTTTTAGAGCGAACCCGAGACGTCCTGGCTAGCAAGCCAGTGTCTTACTCAATATCTGATCACTTAAAAACATTGTTATCAATTACAGCCAGATCAGTAATCTCTTCTTACCTTTAAGTTAATAATATGTTTGAAGACAAATGGATTACTCATGGTGATCTGTTTTTTAATCTTATCATTCATAGCATTAATATATGTTTGATAAACACTCATACATTTCTTAGCTAAAGATGATGCGTAGTATATAGGTATATCATGTAATTCAGGATGATTACTCCAATATTCATCTGAAAATAAACAAACAAATATGGTTAAAGCAAATAGCATGCTGAATAACAACTGTGATAATAAACAAATAAACAAGTTATAATAAGAATAAATAAACAAGTATAATAAGAATGAATAAACAAATATGATAAAAGTACAAAACAAATCTGAATATAGTCAACATTTGAAAGTATTGAATTGAAAAAAAAAACCCAAAGCGAAATAAATTTGTGTCTACCATTTTTTTTAAAATCAGATAGACATAGTACTAGACACTAGTGACCTCTCCCATATGCCAAGATAGAAAGGTTAATGCAATGTAACTTAACGAAACTTGCCCATTATTAAAATTATATTCGACCCACCTAATATAAGTAAAAGTTCTTGAGCTCTACCAAGAGCAAACACCGGTATAAGACATCTTCCTCCTCTGTTTACAATATCATGTACTAAACCTGTAAAACGCCCTTCTCTATCTTCACGTTTTTCATGTATATGAACCCCATAAGTTGATTCCTAAAAACATACAACCACAAAGATAGTTAAATTGTGTTCACAACAAAACCAACTAGTTTCGTACAAAAAGGTGTTATTGTGAAGCCCAGAGAGGATACATGATTAAAATTGTGTTCACTACAAACACCAACTGGTTTTGTACAAAAAGAATTATTGTGAAGTGCGGAGAGGATACATGATTAAAATTGTATTCAAAACAAACAACAACTGATTTTGTACAAAATTAAAATGAAATGAAATAGGGTTTAACGTCCTAAAAAGAATTACTGTGAAGGCCAAAGAGGATACATGATTGTAATGAATTCTCTCAAACCTTGTGAATGAAATGGGGTTTAACAACTTTACTTGTTTCCACCAACTGACCTATGCCTACTCTTAATTTGATTTTCCGGCTAAGTGATCTTTTAAAATGCTGCCAATGCTATATAATATGGGAACTTGTTTAAACCATCCAAACTTTTTAGATTCTTTTCCTTGCCAGACTCTCTGTCCTGCACCACTGACAAGGGCAATATTATATCTCATGGCTGGCAAGATAGAATGTCTAATGTTCATATTATTTTTACTAATTGTTTAGCATCTATAATTTTATTTTACAGTGAACTACAAAAATCATCCACCAATACTTACAGCTAACTGATGCTCTATTTATATTTAACAACAGGAATAAAACTTACAATAATAACAACATCTGGTCTAACATTAGGTAATTCAGCGGCCATTAAATGTCTGTCTTCTTGTCGAGAATAATCTCCTGTATATAATATCTGAAAAACAATTAACTCCTTTCAATCAACATGTAAATATAATCAATACGTTCATATCTGATTGTTCAGGAATGGATGGGAGCCACGGTGGCTAAGTGGGTAAGATGCTGGATGTTAGTTCATCAAGATTTTCCGGCATATTTTCCCTTGTCAGTGATGCAGGATGGGGGGGGCTGTCTAGTCGTTCGGATGTGACAAAAAAAACGAGGTCTTATGCACACATTGGAGTGCATGTAAAAGATCCCTTGGCAGTTGGAATTCCATATAAGAGTAGGCCATAGCATCGCTGTCTGGGCAAAATTTCCCTCATAGCACTGTATGGCTATAATACCGGTCTTCATTAGCCCAGTTGGAGAAGAACAGTAGGACATTAAACCCCATTTCATTTCAGTTCAGGAATGGAATTTTCTAATACTTTTACTTTGTGAAACAGAGGGAAAGAGAAATGGGCTTAACATCCACTCGACACAAACTAGGTCATTTCAGGACTAACATATGGTTCAATTTCATAATCTACTACCTTTTAATATCATTAATATAAGTCAACAAGATTTAAAAGAAAGTATGTTACCTTAACACCAGCGATTTCAATCATAAACATGGCTGCTCCTAACACATGACCAGCCGTATAACACCAAAACTTAACACCATTTATTTCTGTCTCCTACATAATAATAAATGATTATCAGATGGGAAACCATAAGAGTTTTCAAATCTCTCCTATCAAACTTCTTTTTATTATATTTTGAAATACAAATTCTTGCTTATAAGTGCTGTTTACGATATTGTTTGTAATCTATTTACCTGATGAAAATTAACAGTTTCTATTTTATCCATGCTATTAACTAAATCAGCTTCTGAATATAACATATCATCTGTAGATATATTACTGAAAATAGATCAATATATAACGTAGATATAGATATTAATAACATATAACATAGATATATTACTATAACAACATAATATCTGTAACAACAACATATATTACTGTAAATATTACAATATCATAAGTGATGGGGTACCGTTAGACCACTTGGCCACCATCTGTACCCCCACCCCCTCGTTTGGAACAAACTTTATTTTAATTAACAGGAAAATGGGATAAATGGAAATGCCATATGAGTCCAAATTCAATTACCTTTAGTTACTAAAGTTTGAAGAACTACTTTCAATAAGATCAAAAAGAACACTACTTTTCAGTCTCAAATAAGAACCAAATGCTAGTCTGAAAACTAAATAATAATGGTCCATTGGTTTTTAAGACAAACTTTTAAGATAAAAGAAAATACCAACCTAACTTTAACATAATCTGACAGTAACCATCTATATATAGCTTTAGAAGCATGGGTCATGAAGCAACGACCTTTGAACTTTGTCTTTTCCAGGAAGAATGGCAGTGCTCCACAGTGATCTAAATGAAAGCTGAAAAAAATAAACAAACTCTAAAAACTCTCTACTAAAATCAAAATATATTAATGAAAGAAAAATTAAATTTCATAACAGATAGCAAATCATTTATTGAATATATAATATTTGTGCTGTATGAGATATGTATATAAAGTATTTCTACTCACTGACTAACTAGAAGTAAATCTATTTCTTCCACATCAACAGAATCTAAGAAAGGTAGAGAAGCATAGCCATTCATCCCCGGATGAATACCACAATCAAGCTGAAAAATAGAGATAACAAGATAACAAAATTGACATTAGGAATATTGGGGGCAAACATTCTCTTGAAAGTAACAGTGACTGGATTGTTTTCCTCCTACACTGTCGTTTAGGCCTCACTCCACTATAATCCGATATATATATATACACACCTATATGCAGGTAAATGAGCAGAAATATTGTTCGGAGCTTCTGATTTTTGAAAAAATCTCAGGCGCCCGCCAGACCTCAAGCCAAACTTGTCGTTGTCTTCACCCAGCCCCACCCACCTTCCTCACAAAGTCATGAAATTTAAACCAAAATAGCGGTAAAAAAAAAGCTCTTATTTCAAGATAAAATCATTCTGAAAGATCACACTAGTAAATTAAATGAGTATACAATTCTTCGGGGGTTTCTATACGTACCATAATTTTCTTTCCTTTAAAGCTAAGCATAATACATGATCTCCCAACTTCTTGTCCAGCCCCACTAAAAAGAAATAAACAGAAATTATAAAACATTCAATTAAATTCAGGCTGAGAGGATACCTAGCATTGATATTTTGGTTTTGCTTTCTTGATTATATAAACAATCAATCGGAGTACATATTTAGCGTGTATTAAGTCGTGTGAAATTTGATATCTTAGCGAAAAGGCAGATGGTGCATCGGGCATCACCTAATAAATCTTATACTATTTAGTCTAAACATACTGTCTAGAGAGAACATGTTTGCAAAACAGCAAATATAATCAGTTATTTTAAGTTATGTCAAGCAAATGTGAACTATCATTACATATTTTGATTAGCTGTTGGGAGTCCCTGTCTGCTTTTGTCATGGGGCCTCTTTCATTTTTAACTTGAAATGAAATTAGTTTAAAGGAGCTAAATCGCTAATATTTTGGGTCTAGAAATTGACACAAATGGGTTGCAACGTATATAATAATGTAATGTGAATGTATATAAACTGATTTACATTCAATCGTTTCTGTTTTTACTGCAATTTCTAATCAGTTATGTTCGGCGAAATACACCAGAAGCCTCAATCCAATGGCAATCTCTAGCGTCTGGTTATTCCACTCTATACCGATAGTATTGATTGCGCATGCTCTCCAGATAAGAATATGGCATCACCGTTTGACATGACTTGTGGAATATATCTAGCCTCTTTCTACAAGTCCCTTGTTAAAAATGGCGCTGAAATGCACCATGGTACACGATTCGTGCACTAACGGCAAAATGTTTATTTTGTCATAATTATTGGATATCAGAAGCCCATCTTTTCCCCGCAAGATCACATCAATGTTGATTTAATTTGACAAATAAATCATGTTTTCAATGTCGAAGATTTTGGATGATATTGAGTTAGAGACTTAGCTACTTTAACGTCCCACATTTCTGCACAGACTGGGCTAAATAAGATGAACGTACGCCATACAGTGTGCTATGATGGAAAATTTACCCGGGCGAGATAGCCTACTCAGTATTCTTACATGTATATAGAATTCTAACTGTCAAGGGTTTTTTTACACAAGCCAAAGTGTAGCATACATAGGATCTAATTTTTTCATCCTGCACAGTAAAGGGGAAACCACACTGGAAAATCCTGGAGAACTTTCTCTGCAGTAGAAATAGTACATGTAATAGTAGCAGATTCTATTAAAGGAGCTAAGTCGCTAATATTTGGGACCTAGAAATTGACACAAATGGGTCGCAACGCATACAATAATGTAATATGAATGTATATAAATTGATTTACATTCATTCGTTTCTTTTTTACTGTAATTTCTAATAGTTAGGTTCGGCGATATATGCCAGTATTCTCAATCGAATTTCAATCTCTAGCTTCTGGTTATTCCAGTCTACGCCGATAGTATTTATTGGGCATGCTCTCCAGATCAGAATATAGCGTCACCGTTTGACATGACTTGTGGAATATGCCTAGCCTCGTTTTTCGAGTCCCTTATTACAAATATCACTGAAACGCTTTATGGTACACGATTCGTGTACCAATTGTAAAATGTTTATTTTGTCTTAAATATTGGATATCAGAAGGCCATCTTTTCCCTGTAAGATCACAACATCAATGTTGATTTAAACCGACAAATAAATCGTGTTTTCAATGTCGAAGATTTTGGATGATATTGAGTTAGAGACTTAGCTACTTTAAATAATTGTAGAAAAAAAAACACCCTGAAGCGAAAGGAAGCAAAATCGAGGCTTGAACAGGCATTAGTACATTCCTGTTCCTTGTTTATTACATTATATTGTATTAATTAATTGTAAATGAAATAATACAGGCTACCGGGAAGGTACTGACAGAAATTCAGATTCCTGAATGTGTGCTGACTTGATTCGAATTTTCAATTGCGTTGTAAAATACGATAAAAGCGTAGTTAAGGTATGGAGAAAATAATATAGTCGAAGTTTTCTTACAGGGGTTGGATTATAAGCTGTTCGCCTTCTTCGGCGGGGATAACAACGTTTTCTGTCCTCACTTCTTCAGCCATTTTTAAAATAATTAATTTTTGATCATTCAGGAGCATGGTTCGAAAACGAAAAAGATAAATAAAACATAACTTGAAAAATATTCTACATCATTTTATGATTCCAAAATACCACATAGAAAATTCGTATAAATATATGAATTAATCATTAACTTGTATTGTTTTATTTTATCACGGAATGTTCTATTTCGGTCCGTTTCTATTTCTTGTTACGTTATTATTATAGCGGTAAATCCAAGATGTCAGCCTCTATGAACACGATTGTTTACAGTAGCTGTGAATCTGTGAAATAGTATCTAATAATTATAAGAGAACTGTAATTGGTACCTTAAAACTTTCTTCTGTCAGAGTGATTAAATGTTCTATTCAGATAAAAATTTGTGTTATGAAATGATAAAATCAGACTTGCCAGGCAACACACATATGATATAGGCCTATGGCTAATGATGACCGATGTACATGTAGAATAGCATGTGTAAGCCTAGCATACGGTCTTATATTAGACTCTAGTATTTAGATCAGAGATTTAGATTTACTCCAAAATGAGCATTACAAACAGGCATTAATGTTATATAAATTATTAATTAGACGTTTATTAACATGACCCATCCAGATGACTAAAGGCTTACTCCATCTTGCACCACTGACAAGTGGCAACCGCTCTAGAAAATTCAGATAAACTCTCTCAGCGAACACCGGGATTGAACACGGTACCTCCAGGTTAGCAGGCCAACGTCTTACTCACTAAGGCAACATGGCACCCCCTAGCCTAATATGATAACTTCATAGACGAAGCCAATCTATAAAGTAACGGACAAAATTGTAAAAAATAGGGTTGTCAATGGTGATTTATGGCGCATATTTGGACCTAAATATATAATATTCACTACATCATCAAGTTCAGATAAAAGAGAGAGAGAGAGAAATGGAGTTTAACGTCCACTCGACACAAACCAGGTCATTTCGGGACTAACATATGGTTTAATTTTTTATTTCTATAATTCGCTTGCGCGTAGGGGTCTTTAGCAGTGGGAGGAAACCGGAGGACCCGGAGAAAAAGTTCAGATAAAGCTACGTACAGTGTTGAAAAGAAGAGTATCGTCTCTTTTGCAATTAGGATACAGATTGTATTTTATGATTAAGGCCTAAAAGATTTTATTTCTAACCAATTGTACATGTATGTAAAGAAAATTAAGTGGAATGTACGAATTAATAATGTATTTTTGCTGAAAACTCTAAATGACAACATACATGTACTTTTGACATACGCACACTATTTGAATTAAACAGATTTTTTTGGTTATTTTTCTTTCCAGATTTAGATCAAAATGAGGATGCAGTTGTGTCAAACACTTAATAATGTCACTCTGAAGACATTTATTAATCACTATCAGAGGTTAGAAAGAAAGACCTTCTCTGTAATGAATTATAATTATTTCAAGTTTAAAAAGCGAACATTTAATTTTCTTGAAGGTACAAATATTCACCCTACTAATAAAAACCTAGAGAAAATTACCGGTCAATTTAAAATAAATTATTGTGAAAATTATATACCACCCAGAATTAACGTACGTAAATATGCTACAAAATCTGTAAGAGATCGGTTCACCTATACCAATCCTAAATATGCAAGTTATTTATCAAGTATAGAGGAAGAAATGAAAACATTAAGTGAGGACAATACAAACAATCTTAGTAAATCGGATCATAAAAGATTAAGAGAGATTACACCGGCTGTCGAGCTTATCAAAGAATTAAAGATGAAAGTAGCTGAACTACAGGAACTTTCAGCTTTTGAAAGTAAGTTTTCTAAATATTATTATTATGAAAGTTTATATTCATCCTTTTCATGTATTAATATAGAAGTGAAAGAATGGTTTAACATGTGCATTTAAATCATAAGGGCTATCATTGAGTCAAGTGACATGGTTTTGATTCCCCGCTTGTACGTCGCTTGTCCAACCTCGTCGGTTATCTCCGGTTCCTCTGGTTTCTTTCCACTGCTAAAGATGCCAGTATTCTCTTTTTAGATAAAACTCAAGATCAAGAAATGGAAAATATGATTTTAGATGAGAAGAAAGAATGTTCTGATAAAATTCAAGAAATTGAAAATCAGGTGAGTGTTAATGAAAAAGCTTCTCTTGAAATGAAAAGGGGTTAAGTGGCTCTCTTTTTTGTGCCAACCGAGCTAATGAAGATAGGCATATGCCATGCAAGGGCCACAGTGGCTCGGTGGGTAAGGTGCTGTCTTATCAATCAAGAGATCCAGGTTGGAATCCCAGTGATGGCTAAGAAAGTTCCCAGGGATTTTCCAGCATAGATTCTTCTTGTCAATGGTGCAGGATGGAGGACCTGGCAAGGAACATTGTCTAGTTGTTGGATGGGACAAAAAACCAAGGTCCTGTGTAAAGATTGATGTGCAGGCAAAAGAACCCTTGACAGCTTAAATTCGAAATAAGGATATGCTGTTGTGCCGCTGTCCTTGCAAAATTTCTCTCATAGCACAATGATCATCTTGTGGATGCTGTAGAGGCTAAGCTGTCGTCTGATTGACTTGGAATTTACACTTTATGTTTATGGACTGCTGTGAGCTTACATTTCGTTGAAAACGCAACCTATATTTGATTATTTCACAGAGCAAAAATATATATTGGAAGTTAATGCGACTCATTTATTTCTAGTTTTACAGTATCTTGTGCTTGACATGATTACATGAAACACAGAGAGTAGTTGGGATTGGGGAATGCCACTGCTTCTTGCACCACTGTACATCAAGCATATTGTTCTCTCAGGTAGAGTTGTCTGGTTAGCGAGACATACATGGCAGCTTGCCAACATACCTGTAGACACGAATACAGTCTCTGATAAAAAGAAAAGTCAAACTTTATTTTACACAGAGAATAAATGGGAAATGGGGAATGCCACTCTTTGGCAAAATTCTCCTACTGCCTGACACATCCAATACATACCTGTAGACTTGGGGAGAGATGGTTCAATTTTATTTAATAATTCGCTTGAGTATAGGAGTCAGATTAGCAGTGGGAAGAAACCGGAGGACCTGGAGAAAATCAAGTGACTGACGACACTACTCCACGTCACATACAAGCTGGGAATCAAAACCATGACACTTGACTCAATGACAGATCTTATGATCTTAAGGGTATGCCCCCACCCCCCAGTAGATAAAACTACATGATATATTCTGACCAAATGGCTATTTCAGTTAGTAGACGTATTGTGTGAAGAAGAGAGAATAGATAATAATGATATTATATTAGAAGTTACGGCTGGAGTGGGCGGACAAGAAGCCATGTTGTTTACAGCAGAAGTGTTCAACATGTATATGAATTATGTCACTTTTAAAGGATGGTCGCAGGAAATTTTAGGATATGAAATTAGCGATCAAGGTAAGAATTATACCTTTATTTTGTTCCCACTTAGATATATTGTTGTTTCCTCTACATGTAAATAAGATCCATCTGATTAATACACAGATCCTATTTCATTTTGTTTTTTATTGTTCAAAATTCTGTTTAATTTGTCTTCACTAAACTAGGATCTGGAAGAGTTGTTACAAGTAAATAACTCACGTTATTAGCCAATCTAATGGTCTGTTGAGTCTAGCCAAGTGCATGGAACTGTGGGAAGACAATTGCAGTGTAAGAAAACAAAACAAAAGTTGTGTTTTGGAATAGCCTCTTGGAACACTGATGCTTATTGGTTAATCGAATGACTGACGTCATCGGGTCCAAAGTCACTTGAATGACCCCAGACGCGTCCTCCCTCAATATCCAGGAGGTTGGATGGCCGAATGGTGAGCACGTGTGCACTGTAACATAAGGTCTGTCAGTGAGTCAACTGGCGTGGTTTCGATTCCCCATTTGTACATGACAAGGAGTAGGGTTGCCTGTCCAACCTCAGTTTTCTCCAGGTCCTCCGGTTTCCTCCCACTACTAAAGACCCCTATGCAGAGGGGATTATTGAAATAAAATTAAACTATATGTTCATCCCGAAATGACCTAATTTGCGTCAGGTGGACGTTAAACCCCATTTCTCTCTCTAACCCTCTATAACCGGTCAGATATTAATGTAGCAGAACTCATCGAAAGTGTCAAAAACAGAATGAAATAGTTCCATATTTAATCAGATACTAAGTAAAAACATTTATTGAAAATGATATTGTTTGCTTGCATTAACCCGTTAAATGCGTAGGGCGTTATATTATGTCCTGGACAACTGCCTCTCACCGTGTGTAGGGCGTATATAACGCCTTGCAGGTATTTTCCCCAATCTATTCTTCGAACATACGATCGCAGCATGTGTAGGACGTTATGTTACACCTGGTCGAGGAAATCTAATTGAAGGGAGACAACTCTATTTACCATTCGTTTTAATATGGTTTCAGACTACTATCATTTGTATTCAGGAATAAAAAGGTCCAAAATGACGTTTTTCGTCAAATTAATTACACAATAGGGGGTAGTTAACGTTTTAAAAACTACAAAGTTAACGGGTTAAGCTTTGTAGCTCATTTTCAAAACTGCCAAAAAATCTGTTCTGAAGCTAAAGGGTTAAGATAACTTCTTGCACAAGTTGTATTATAACTATTACAGGCGGCATAAGAAGGGCTTCAATGGAAATAAAAGGAACCAATGTCTTTAAACATTTAAAATATGAAGGTGGTGTCCATAGAGTTCAAAGAGTTCCCCAAACAGAAAGGAGTGGGCGCATTCATACCAGTACCATGGCCGTAGCTATCCTTCCCCAACCAACTGAGGTTTGCATTAAATTATTCTCTTGATTTCAATGTGCACAATGATATTGTTACTTTCTGTTTGTCAGTCATGGGTTTAGAGCTTCTCTGGCAACAACGGGTCCAGCACTATAATATGATCTTCTTGAAATTCATAAACATTGTGTACCTCAAAATTCTATGTCACATGTAGAGTTGTGGCTGATAATTCTTATGAAATTGACACTACAGAACTCCGGGAAGATGGAGATTTAATTAATACCTCCATGTTTTAAAAAATCAGCTTTATCCTTAACGAAAACAATATTTGGCATTTACTCATAACAGTATATAGAGTAATAGTAAGTGCAGGAGGAGCGCACTGCATGCAAACTAAGACAAACCTGTGGACAAGACACAAACTACAAATATCAAATCAAGTGAATGGATCCGGGGGGTCAGCCGTAAACATCCACAGCACTGTACAGGCTTCACTCAAAATGAAAAACAAAACAGAGATTTATAAAAAAAATAATACGATCGGTCTTGGGCGATCCCGAATCGGTGTTTTTTGATGGCGATAGTCTGCCAGTTTAAACCTAGTCTTGAGAATGTGAATATATATTTCAGATCGATGTTGTATTACACTCTAAAGATTTAAAAATTGAAACATTTCGAGCTACAGGAGCTGGTGGCCAGAGTGTTAATAAAACTGACAGTGCTGTAAGAGTTATCCATATACCCACAGGTAATTTCACCGTATGAGGGCTTTCACCTCAACTCAAACCCAGAAACTTTTAAGATTTGTTTATAGATTTGATAAAGAGTTGATAGTTCTCACTATAATAGTGAAAAGGTAGATAATGAAAAGAGAATATGCAGATAATTTCAGTCAAATTGCTTTACTAAATATTAGCGATTCAATTTTAGGCAAGTCTTGATCGTCATTACTACCGTTTTTACCACGATAAACAAAGTCTTGATTATCGTTTTTATGGTTATTTCATCTACAACAAAATGTATTCATATCCACTAAATACAGTATTGCTTTTTTCAGGAATTGTTTCTGAGTGTCAAGAAGAAAGGTTCCAGGTTAGGAATAAAGATAAAGCAATCAAAGTCTTAAGATCAAGGTAAATATTTTTAATTGATTAAATAAGATACAAGATGACCAACTGATTTAAGGTCTTAAAACAGAGGCAGCCATCCCATTTATACACACTTGAAGGTGGTTGATGGGCAACCGGCAAAGACAGCTCAGTGTTATTGCTTCTCTGTGAAGCCAACCATTTCAATATAACAGGGAAGTGGATTTTATATATTTATTCATTGAAGAATGAAGGTGCTAATGTAATTACAAGCAAATGTTGACAGGGTTGTTGACATGGCAAGTCATTATCAAATGTGGGTGTAACCCTACAGGCAGATTTGATTTGTTTCTTCTCAAAGAGTAAAATGTTGATAACATTTTGTTTCTCCACAGAGATACATGTACCTGTTTGTGTACTTATGATTGCTAATGATTAAGTCACATTCAGACAAACATACCATTATTTTTATTCTGTGGAGGGAGGTATTTTGCCTGTTCAGGTGTCAATGATGTCAAAGTTCTTTATCTGAGTGAAATGAAATGAAATGGAATGGAGTTTAATGTCCTACTGTTATGCTCCAAGCTGGGCTAATGAAAACGGGCATACGCCATACAGTATGCTATGAGGGAAATTTTGCCCGGACAACGGCACTACGGCCTACTCTTATATCCAATTCCAACTGTCAAGGGATCTTTTACGTGCACAACAATGTGTACATGGGACCTCGGTTTTTTCGTGCCATCCGAATGACTAGACAGCTGTCCTTGTCAGACCCTCCGTCCTGCATCACTGACAAGTGGGAGCCATGCCGGAAAATCTTGAAGAACTTGCTCGGCCAATGCAGGGATAGAACACCCGACCTCCAGGCTAGCAAGCCGGCGTCTTACCCACTTAGCCACCGTAGATGGCTGCGGTCGTGGCTCAGTGAGTAACTCTAGCTCGTTAACCAGATGTCCTACGTTTGCTCTTGGTGTTGGCTAGGATTTTCCAGCACGGTTTCGGTGGAGCAGGATGGGACGGTGGCTTATTGGGAACAGGACTTTCAAATTGTGGAAGTTTCTTCTCACCCATACCTGAATTTAAACCCTGGACATCCTTGTCAAGAGGGAGCCATGATGGCTAAGTGGGTAAGATTCTGGCTAGCTAGACTGGAGGTCGTGGGTTTGCTCCTGTTGTAGGTCGAGAAAGTTCATCGGATTTTTCCGACATGGTTTCACGGTTTCACCCTTGTCTGTGGTGCAGAACAGAGGGCTTGACAAGGGCAGATGTTTAGTCGTTCAGATGGGACAAAAAACGAGGTCCTGTGTACACATTGGTGTGCACATAAAAGATCCCCTAGCAGTTGAAATTCGATATAAGAGTAGGCTTTAGTGCCGCCGTCCGGGCAAAATTTCCCTTGCAGAACAGTAGGACATAAAACTCCATTTCATTTGATTTTATTTCCTTGTCAAGAGTCCCATTACCTCATTGCCAGGCCTGGAAATAACGGTTTTAGTTGCACCTGACAAATTTCAGGACAGGTATTCATAATATCAATAAAAAAAACCCAAATTAATGTTGGACAAAAAGACAGGTCTGAATTTGTGCCTTACATTGTCAGTGACCTGTGCCTTGTTTCCAGACTTACTACTTGCTCAACCAAGTAGTCCCATTAGTACTTATTTGTATGCAATCTTTGTTATTCAGAATATACCAAAAAGAATTAGAAGCACAGATGTCAGAACAAAAGGCCCTGCGCAAATTTCAAATGGGAAGTGGTGGACGGTCTGAGAAAATAAGAACTTATAATTTTAAAGAGAACAGAATAACAGATCATCGTATACATCAGAATATTTTTAGTAAAGAATTTTTATCTGGTGGTCAAGACCTAGATGACTTGATCCAAACATTATGGACAGAATCTAAATACCTTTCTTTAGAGGCTATGTTAGATGACTATTGTGAAAGCATCAAAATGAGAGAAAAAAAGAAAAATTCTTAAGCATTTATTATCAAATTGCTGTATGTGGTATTGCTACATAAAATAAATACTTATTTAAATAAATAAATCAACAAACAAAAGTTTATTTATATAGAATGATATTCAACAAAAATAAATGCTAAAAGAAAAGTTGATAACAATATACTGGTCTATAAAAGGCTATATATGTACTTATGTATAAATTAAAACTGAATGTTATATATTTAATGGTATTTGGTTGAGATATGTTAATCCAAAGGAGATAGATTTGCTAGAGATCTGATGGGTTTCTGAGCAAAAAAAATTATCAATCTATGGTTCATTTCTACAATGCGGTAGATCATATAAATTGCATTTAAAATCCTGTCAAATTGGTACATTTTGTGTATAAAGTAACCAGAAAATGAGGAGATATTGAATGCCATAGTTTGGTTTCCCACCTCGAGATTAACCTGTAATAGGACTATCTATTTATCTTTTAATCCAACTGATAATGATTTAAACTTTCTTTTTTTTAAATTCCAATATTTTGGATTTGTGTAAGATATACTTAATTAACTTCTATGATGCTAAAATTTGAGGCGTGTCATAGTTAGAAATATTGATATGTGCCATAAAATGTAATTAAAATGTAATTGACCATTACATGATTTTTGGAATGTAATTAATTACATTTCCATTACTTAAAATCATCCATTACTCATTACATGACCATTACTTAAAAAATATAATGATTACACTCCATTACCTTTACACTTAAAAAATCAAAAAATAACACTGTGACTTATAAAAAAATCAAAGAAAAAATACCTCTGTGACTATGAAAAAATCAAAAAAAACCCCAAAAAACATCATGTGATCCTGATCCTCTTTAATGTTGGTCCAATACATTTTTTGCTTATGTCAATGATAAACAATAAAATGATGGTTGTTTATTATTCTTTATCACCGCACATTAATACGAATAACAACAGCTACACAAATCTGTTTGATGTTTACTGTTTATTTGAATCAACATGTGGCTTTTAATTCAACTAAATATCGAAAATTCAAGTAACACACAACTTAGAACTACATACACTGCAAGAGAAATCAATTATTTTGGACCCATGTCCACTGCATAGATAATAACATCATAATTCCAGATCTCTATTTCGTTTTGTTTATACATTCGATGGCCTCTACTACATGAAGATCTGACCAGTTGTAGTGGGAGGTTGAGTCAGGGGTCATATGAGCAGTTTTTGACCCTATGATGTCAGACATTTGATTAAACATGCATTATGCAAGAGCAAAATCTGCTTATTACAAGTCTTTCTTTAGGCCTGAAATGTTATCTAAATTATCAATTAGACATTAATTAACTTATCCAGACCATAATAAACTCTCGATGTCAAGGCTAGCCTTCGATGTTGGCTGGATTAGATTCCTATATGCCGCTAACGGCTATTGATAATTAAATCAATAAACGTGGATAATCGAGACTATGCTGTTTATATTAATGATTTTAGACCGAGACTATGCAAAAATTTCACCCGCTTCTTTCTCGGCTCATAGTGGATCAATTTGACTGAAATTTTCAGCAAATTACCTTTACACTATCTAGTTTTTAACTATTATAGCGAGAACTGCCACCTCTTTATCTTATCTCCCATAATGTATCTTTAACCAATCAGCGTTGATGTTTCTAGTGGAATACCCACAGTCCCATGCGTCACACGCTAAAAACTTGCTGCAACAGACTGTTTCATTGACTAATCCCTCACACCTAGTAGAACTTGGGTTATATAACAACTCTTCCAGATCCTAGTGTAGTAAAGACAAGTAAAACAAAATTTTTAACTATAAATAGGATCTGCATTTTAATGAGATTGCAAATTTGGCATACCTACAATCGCAAAAAATCATACCCGATCTAACTGCATAATCAGATAAGTAAATCAAAAAAAAAAAAAAAAAATTTATTAACAAAATAGTTGCCAGTCATCACAGAAGATTACAATATTCTCAAATAAAATTATAAGTTGAATTTCATAAATTCATCTGACCTAATAATGCTGTGAATTGAGATGCCTGTCTGTAGCACTCATGTACATAGCTTATACATGAAATACAATCGGATTAAATCACAGATCCTATTTCGTTTCGTTTTTTTATAACAACCAGTGTGATCTTCATTTCGTGGAGACCATCAAAAGTATAAAGATAGGTTGCCTGGCAACGAAACATATGCCCACAGCAGGTAAATCGTCCAAGTGGTCGACAAGGGTTGTCGCATATTTATTATTTGTAGGTAATGGGGGGGGAGGGGGGGGCATTTACAAGACAATTTCATACAGATCAGTTTTGTAATTTTTGTCATTTGAGGGTTAAAAAAGTTTTACAAACTGAAACAAGGGCCTTAACTCTGGAAGTAATTTACAGAAATTGTTGAAATTCGACAGACTTTTTCGTTAATGATTTAAATAATGCATATAAATTTCATACAGATCAGATGATAACTTTTGTTGTTCGAGTGTTCAAAAGGTTCAACAAAGTAAAATAAGGGCCATAACTCTTGAAGTAATAGACAGAAAAATATCTGAAATTCAATAGGAGTCTTTCTTTCACTAATTTAAATGATGCATATAAATTTCATACAGATTGCAAGGATGATAACTTTTGGGCTTCGTGCATTCACAATGTTCAACAATGTGAAACAAGGGCCATAACTCTATATGTAATTAACTGAAATTGCTGAAATTCAATAGGATTCTTCGTTCCACTAATGATGCATATCGGTTTAATACAGATCAGCTGATAGATTTTGTCGTTAGAGCATTCAAAAGGAGCACCAAAGTGAATCAAGGTCCATAACTCCAAAAAAAATAAACAGAAATTATTGAAATTAAATAGCCTTCTTCAACTCACTAATGTAAACAACATATATCAATTTTAAAACAATCAGATGATAAATGTAGTCTGTAGAGTGTTCACAAAAAATTGTGGACGACGGACGGACAGGGCAATATACAACCACATTCACATTGTCATGTAAGCATATAAAAAAATGAAATGAAATATAGATCTGTATTTTAATGAGGTTGTATAAAAGAAGAAATGTGAACATATATTAATAATGCCATCTTGTAAATAAACAACTCTTAATTAAAAGCATTCCTTATGCCAATTATAACAATAACATTAACAACACTGTACAAGGATATTTAATTAATTGGTCAAGATTAGAGTTTAACATGTACATATAAAATGGACGTTTATAAGAATATAATGCTTACAATTTTAAAATCTTTAAATCACTGCAATCTTATATAAATTAAGATAACTGATTATAATTATATGCTTATTTGGTTACCATAAAAAGCAATGGAACTACAAAACTGGATCTGTCCTTCCTTCGAAATAAATAACTTTAATTTGTTATGGTGAATGAATCGAAATGTAATACCAGGTTTTCTATTGAATGGATTTCGATAAAACATGGAATATACCGTCCTTATCACAATCCTTCACAAACAATAAATAACAATAAATCAATAAGCTGGAAGGTTGAGAGACAGAATTTGTGATATTTTTCCTAATTACCGTCAAAGGAAGATACCCCCCCACCCCTAAAAAAAAAAAAAATCTAACTATAACAAAAGTAATAAATAAAAGAAGTGATCAATGTGTAACTTAACTTTGATCAATGCCAACTTCCACATTTATCTCATTATTTGGAAACAATAATAATAACAGTACTTATGTAATGTGGTATGTACATTAATTTACATACATGTACATGTATAATAAGGCAGGCTAAATGGGAGGGTTTTTATAAGATTCAATATTCCATAATGAGAAAACCCAGGGCAAACAAATAACATATGTACGGTATGTAGCATGCTTGGTTTATGTCGGCAGTCAATCGACTAATTGTGAATATAAGTAATTGTCTTTAATTAAGACATAATCAGAAACTGTTTACAATTTCTATAAATTATAGTTACTCGGTACTATAATGGCTATTTTTGGAATAGTTATCTTCTTGGGTGAGAGTGACACGCTTCAAATAAAGTCTCAGGCTCCTCCAATTCAAGTAAGATCAACATGAAACTTTACATGCTTGTTCCTTGGACAATTCCATATCAATTACCAGCCTTTGATTTTTAATATGACGTCAGAATTCCAAGATGGCTACCATTACATCATGTTCGGTTCCTGATCCATATAGCACACCTGTACTTATTTTTTTTTTTTTTATTAAATTAAGAAACAGGACATTTGTGCCTGTACCTGTAGTTAACTGCTTTTGGTCTAGTTCCACACCCTGAGATTAATTTTGAGCCTCTATTTTATATCATTCGGTTCCCAACATATATCCTTACGCCACCAGTTATCTACATTCTCATATTGCTTTTGAAAATTGGACGAACATGAATTACGAATACGCTGACATAAATCACAAACTGGAAACGGCTCAGGTTCAATTACATCATAATACTTTTTCCACTCAAAATATTTTTCATATTCTTTCGGATTATTGTCTAAAAATACAAGATAGTCCGCTAATTCACTGACAGAATTAAAATCAGATGTTTGAATGACTGATTTTTTAGGTAAAATGGCCGAATAGTTTGCACCACCTCGGACCACAGGCACAATATTACGTTTTAGCATATGTAGAGCTTTTTCACTGATGTAGTCTTTGCACAGGGAATTCTCAAATGAAAGATAAAACTTGTAATCATCTTCTAACATTTTCAAACAATTGTCATTACTATCCTTTCCGCACGTCAAAGTTCCACATTTTCCATAAATATCTACCTTGATTTTTTTCTGGAGTTCTGTAACAAATTCATTTCTTTTACTTTGTGTATAACAGTTACTGACAAACCATGCAACAAGTTTCTTTTTCTTACTCAGAGTCGTTTTGTCAATCACAGAATCATTTTGAAACTTTAATTTGGGAACTACTTTTCCATAACCGAACCGCATATCAGAATCATATCTGTAAGTCATAGTCCAGTTAAACGAATTCGTCCATTTTCCCAATTCTGAATTACCGGAATGAATCGGACTTTCCACGGCAAAATAAATCCATATTTGATTTGGCTGTTTGACAGGAGGGGGGCCTGATTTATGATGCGTGTAAAATATAACGGCATCACTTTTATCAAAATCGTTAGGGGTGTCTGTAAATTCGCATAAATTCACCGGACAATCAACAAAATGCTTACTTCCCATTTTCAGTTCATAAAAACTTGGAAAAGATTCCAAGTATATGAAGGTTTTTCTTCTTCCATCAGGCGGACTATCAAATTCATGTTGCGGTAGATACTTCAGTTTATGACTAACAGTAGCAAAATGTATGGTGAGGTATGTACAGATACAAGCAGTCACAATAACACATATGTTAATTAGTGGTCTGACTTGTGAAAATCTGCCAATAAAAGAAAATAAACAGTGAGTTATTATTATTGCAAAACATTTATATAGTGTTGTCTTCTTAAAAGTGCTTTGATGTGCTTTAAATTACATACAAGTATATGTCAACAAAATATATGGCTGAATAATTCAATCCTAACATTATTTTCTACTTATTTTATGTCACCATCTTAATACCTCTTCTACTGGCAGGTTGACAAATGAATGATACAGCATTTCAGATTGATAAAATATTGTATAAGAATTAATAATTTGCTGATCAAGCAGGCCTATGTGGCGCCCCAGGACAAACGTTTCAGTGACACCCCACCCCTGTATATGTAACTGCTTTGTTCAGTGCCTGTGCTCAGTTGATTTTTTATAATTTTAATATACAATTTTTTATACTTTTAACACTTTATTTAAATAATTATTAATACTGTATATCTTGGAAAAATCATAATTCTACCCTCTCTACCCTTGCTGAAATATGAACTGGTTTATACAGGGGTGATTTGCTATCTCAGCCCACACTGATCCGCAGTGAATTTTCGCTAGGCCGCTACAATCACTGATAAGGATGACATCAATGCGACTTAATGAGTCAAATATTAACTTTTTTCCACTGACAAATTAAATTCTAAAACATTTTTTTGATGTATTAGAAAAATGAATAAAGACGATTGACATATTTGTAGGTAAAAATTATTTCCTATTTAGTGTAAATGGGTATTAAAATGACTAAAAGGCAGCATTCTGCCCAAAGCATTAACGTCTTATGTAAACAATGCACGCGCCATTCAACCGATGATTGACGGCATGTGCTGTGATGGCACGAGTTAAAGGCAGTCATCTTTTACAGAGATGATTTTCCGCCCCCAAGAAGTATCGCCCATGGGCATATGAAATGAAATGAAATGGGGTTTAACGTCCTACTGTTCTGCTCCTATACTGGCCTAATGAAGACGGGCATACGCCATACAGTGTGCTATTAGGGAAATTTTGCCCGGACAGCGGCACTATCGTCTACTCTTATATCGAATTCCAACTGCCAAGGGATCTTTTACGTGCATTCCAATGTATACACGGGACCTCAGACCTCCGAAGGACTAGACAGCTGTCCTTGTCAGGCGTCCTTGTCAGGCCCTCCGTTCTGCACCACTGACAAGGGGAAACCACGTCGGAAAATCCAGATGAACTTTCTCGGCCAATGCAAGGATCGAACACCCGACCTCCAGGCTAACGAGCCAGTGTCTTAACCACCCAGCCACCGTGGCTCCCCACGGGCATATGCCTCCCTCAGCTTCCCCCTATGTGACGGCCCTGTTTTAAAGGAAACTTACTTGCAATGTCTCATGTTGATTTAGTCTGATTCATTTGAATTTTGAACTTGTAAGTATTATTTAATTAAGAACCGACTTCTTAAATATTCCATTTCTTGATCACTGGACTCTTCCCTGAATAAAAGAATCGATCAGTTAATAAAATATAATGAACAGGGTGGATCCGGGGAGGGGGGGGGGGAGTACATCCAATCCACCCTTGCTCAGCTACATAAAAAGAAATTGTAAAACAACACTTTGTATGAAAAAATTGTCACGGGCATGTGCTTTATCCTTTATCGTCAGATGGTTCTACTACGACAGATGGTCTTCTGACAAGCTTAGTCCTAATGAACCTTAACTATAGGCCTACGTGCGAGATAGATATATCGATGACAATTTTGACATTATACAGAAGTACAGTTCATCAGAAAACATCCATGCCACTTATTTTCCCGATTATATTTTGAGTCATAATTGTGCAAAACTCTATCTTAGGCTCTTGTCAAGTTATCTGTCTCCCGGTGTATTGGGAAAAAAAACCCAGTCTAGTTTATGTGATGAATTTTCTTGATCTTGATATTTTGGTGATTCACACAGTCATGATCGGTTTTTGTTTTTCTATTTTGCAAAGTTTCCTATCAAAATCGTGCAGAAGTGATTTTATTGCATATCAATCAGTAAAACTAAAACGTAGTACCCTAGTCTAGTAGTTGTATATAATATATTTTTATGTAAAATACCAACACGAGAACTGGTAATGTGGAGGTGCGGTTAGTGCTAAATGATAAGGCCAGCTCAATTTTTCGTCATAGGTCACAAGATGTTGACAGGGCTAGCACTAATCCCAACCCTAACCTGGACCTACATGTAGCCCAATGGTTACCCAAACCTACAATATTGCCTATAATCACGTGCCCTAACCTTATTTACATGACAAAAATTGAGCTGACCTTAAAAAATAGATTTTGCCACAGAGGTGCGAAAGTGCAAGCGCCGGGGCGTGGTTGGTGGTTGATGAGACTAGTCAAAGTAATCAATGCTAACTTGTAATTTTATAAGTAGATCCACCCCTGCCCTGCAGATATAACATTATATTATCATAGACATCCTATACTTACCATTAAATTAAATACCAGAGGCATTATGCCTACATAACTAAATTAATTTACTATCGAACGACTTTTACCAAATAGGATGTTTTTATTCCCTGTAGCTTCCATACCAGGACCAATCCATTCGTATATCGTCGGGTTTAAAAGAAATTGCCAAGAACATTAGGCCAAAATAAACCCTGTTAATTCAACAGTTCAGTTCGACACCACATCTCTTTGACGTATCAGAGCTTATAATTGTATGTATGTATTAAACATTTGATGTGTTCTAAATAGTATTAGCGATTTTTAACTAAAAGATTAATTTTTGACTGGCTCTGCAGCGGTGATCAAGGTCAAGGTTGTAAGTTTCCTAGCCGAGGCGTGGCGATTGTGGAATAATGCGAATATAATTAATATCGTACACGAACTTATCAACACATAATAACCTCTTATATTACTAATAGTAGAATTTAAAAAACCCTAGCAATGCCACAATATCCACAAATTAATTTAATCATACAAATATAATAAAGGTGAAAATACATTGACCATGTTGTCTGAAAACTAAAATTAAGGGAAATAACTCCGTCATGACTAATGTGAACTGTTTGTGCAGGCCATTAATTTTTGACAATACAAAAGGATCTTCGTGTGAAAATAAATATATAAAATACTTGTATATTTCTGTTCTTTTTGTTTTTTAACACACCTGACCATTGTGACTTCTGCCCGTCGTCCATCCACCTGGCCTAAACAATTAGTTCACACTCATTAAAATTTGAAAGAGGCGGTTAAAGAGATGTGTAGCCTCGTGTTTCTATAACAACGAGAGTGGGTTTTACTAGTTAAAGCGAGATTAAAGGAGCTAAATCGCTAATATTTGGGACCTGGAAATTGGCACAAATGGGTCGCAACACATATAATAATGTAATATGAATTTATATAAACTGTTTTACATTCAATCGTGTCCGTTTTACCGTGAATTGTCATCAGTTATGTTCGGCGAAATACGCCAGAAGTCTCAACCGCAAGTCAGTTTCTAGCGTCTGGTTATTCCAGTCAACACCGATATTATTTATTTCGCATGCTCTCCAAATAAGAACATGATATCACCGTTTGACATGACTTGTGGAATATGTCTAGCCTCATTCTTTGAGCACCTTGTTACAAATGGTGCTGAAACGCATTATGGTACACGATTCGTGTACCAATGGTAAAATGTTTATTTTGTCTTAAATATTGGATATCAGAAGCCCATCTTTTCCAGGTAAGATCACAACACCAATGCTGATTTAAATTGCAAAAAAAATCGTGTTTTCAATGTCGAAGATTATGGATGATATTGAGTTACGGACTTAGCTACTTTAAGCTTTCTATTGAAGATGGTGTAGAATAACCGATCCGATGCAGTCTTAATCAAATAGTCCGGTGGCTGAAGGGGGGGGGGGAATCGCCACCCGAGCTGTGAATTTATGAGACCAAGTTTTTCTAGACCAGTTTTTTGCGTAGATTCCGAATCTGGTGGTGATCAGGCGTTTGAGGGGGCGTTTTCGAGCTATAGGGCATACAATGTCTACAATTGGGGGCCAATGTCATTATGTTGACATAAATAATTATCATGTTATATAATAATAAAACATAAATTTCTAGGACTGTCCATCTTTAAAGAAGTGTGCATGATGCCCTTGGACAACTGATTTGATTTTTGGGGAGGTGGGGTGGGTGGTAGCAGGTGAGCGTGTATGGAAGGGGGGGGGGGGGTAAAATTGGCGGGAAATGATGATTTTTCTTAGAGGTTGGTAAAAACATTACTTTTTAATTCGGCTGCACACCTTTATATATGGGTGTAAGATTACCATTGTATGTGGCGGGGAGAGGGGGATGGGGTGGGGTGTAATTTTGGGGACAGAAAACACTTGGTTCAAAATTAGCCAATGAAGCGGTCTGTGACGGCGAGTTCTTTGCGTGCTCTGCACGGAACTGTGGGTAAACCCCCAGAAACATCAACGCTGATTGATTAATCAATGTCTGACGTCATTGGGTCAAAAGCCGCTCGTATAACTCCTGATGCGACCTCTTAGTACAACTGGTCAGATCTTCATGTAGTGTAGGCCATCGAAAGTAAGAAAAACCAAACGAAATATACATTTGTATTTTAACCGGTTTGCTTAAAAATCGCTCGGGGGGATTTTTTGGTGCTCGTTGAAGCAAGTGTTCGCTGATTAGGAGTGCACGCCGGAGCAAGTTCTACTTTATAATTTAATATATTAAATGACGAAATAGGTACTGAACGAAAAGGCTAACGAGAAACCACTTTCAAACTTGTAAGGTCAATTTTGAACCAAACGATTTCTGTCCCCCCCCCCCCGGCGCCCACCCCCACACAATGGGAATCTTATAAACATATTTACAGATGTTTCATCAAGCTCTAAGAAAATCATCATTTAAATCGACATGAGCTCATTTCCCGCCAATTCCCCCCCCCCCCCACGCAAACCTGCACCCCCCACCCCACCCCACTTCGCCACAAATCAAAACGGTTGTCCTGGGGCATCATACACACTTCTTTAGAGATGGACAGTCGTAGAAATTTATGTTTTATTAATATATAACATGATAATCATTTATGTCAAAATAATGACATTGCCCTCCAATTGTAGACATTGGACCCCATGTATCTCGAAAACGCCCCCTCAAACGCATGATCACCACCCAGATTCGGAATCTACGCAAAAAACTGGTCTAGAAAAACTTGGTCTCATAAATTCACAGCTCGAGTGGCGATCCCCCCCCCCCCCTTCAGCCACCGGACTAAAAGTGAACGCGAAACCCATTTCCCTTTAGTCCTCCTAGAAATAGGTTTGCACGACATGTATCCCGAATTTACTTCGAAAGTTATGAACCTTTACGGAATGGGCTATGAACCACCCGTCTCGTTCCAGATTCAATTTTAGATGGAGTTAATGGCCCTTGAACCTATATGGCATATTGTTTTGAATTTTGTTGTTGTTTGTTTTGTTGGGTTTTTTTAATTGGAACCTCACTGGAATATCTAATTATTTACAAGGACAACCATATCGAGCCATACACAAATTTTCAGCCCTCTGAAACGGAGTTATGCTCTTTTACTACACCATACTGCACACAGCGATCCACCTGTACGTCATACTCTCAGGCGGAGCTAGCTGTGGACAGGCAGCCTAAGTTTGGGATGTTACTACACCTGACGTGCGCTTTACCTTTAATAGTAGATCACCACACTACGCGCAATACAAAACCGATCCAAACCTGCGGACAAGACAAACTAGACAATTAGACATTGTAATAAATAAACAACATACGTACGTCAAATTAATTCACTCTGAGCCGAGTTATCGCCGATACAATTACAGTGTAGTCTCGATTATCATTGCTGCTGTTGTTACGATAATAAACAATGCCTCGATTATCCAGTTGTACGTTAAATCATCAACCGCAAATCGTATTTAAATCTATTGACGAATCTAGAGTATCCAATGGCTTCGAGAGTTGATTATGGTCTTGGTAAGTTAATTAATGTCTAATTAATAATTTATTAGAAAACATTTATGGCATAAAGAAATACCCACAATAGGCAGATTTAGCTCTTGCATAATGCCTGTTTACCTAAATAATTTTATCTACAACACTTATTAGGTAAATTTGGATCTATATATATATATATTGATTTGTGATTGTGACATATGAACAATTATATAATGAAATGTAGATTAATTGAACTACAAGCATTCGCATGCCGCTTTGTAATAAGTTGTTAAATAGACATACACATCTGTTGATTAGCACAATATAAAATTAGTTATTCTATAATACGCTCATGCGTGTACACATATTGCTAAAGATATTATTAAATGTGAATTATGTAAGAGCTAAATCTACCGATTATAGGTCTTTATTTTGGATTTAAATGTTATATAAACTATTATTTAGACATTTATTAACACGAAAAACCTATAATCAACTCTTTAGCTCATTGGATGGTCAAGATTCAGATGGATTGAAATACGATCACCATTTAATAATTTAATTTAAAAAAAGGTGGATCGATGTATAGTCTCGATTGTCAAGTACCGTTGCTACGATAACAAACAAATTAGCGACATCTTGTCAAAACTTCAAACACAGATAACTTCGCTCAGAATAAAGTAATTTAATATATTCATTTTGCATTATCTATTTTTGAACTATTTTAGTAAGAACTACCAGCTCTTTATCTATTTTTGAACTATTTTAGTAAGAACTGTCAGCTCTTTATCTAAAACTTATATAATGCATCTTTAAATATTTAACAGATATATCGGAGAATGATTATTATCTACTACGTATCAATACAAATTGGTTAACAATAAAAAAAAACATTTCTTGTTAACAAAAGGCACAATATTGTATAACAATATATTCCATAAATATGTATTGAACGAGTTATCAGATTTCCGAAATAATAATTGTATACTAAAGTCAATTTTGCCTTGGAAACACAAAAGTTATTCAACTGAGAAATATCTAACGAACAAAAGGCACAACAACTATAGATGATGTATCTATAAAATTTGATAATGATATCTTGAACGGTTTATAAGATACCCGTACACCCCTTGACCCTCGGATGTTTTTTGGTGTATATACATATGATATTCCGTAGGGTATCTTATAACCCGTTCAAGAGGTTCACTAGTCCCCGGGTACACTAGTCCGCCGCTATAAAAAAAACTTATAAATATGGGCATCAAAATACCCAGCAGGTATGGTGGCTGATTGGTATCATGTCGAGATGTCGGGTTGTCGCCTTATGACAATACGAATTTACCCGACACCACGACATTAAAAATGTCGTAATGCCGCGTAAAAATGTCGTATTGTCCTGTTAAAATGTCGTGATGTCGGGTTGTTGGCCATCTTCCTCTCAAAATACAGTTTGATTATGTACACTGATCGTGGTTTTGGTCAAGAAAGTTCCCCAGGATTTTGCAGCGTGGTTTCTCCCTTTCGATAGTGCAACCAATCGGACCATTGAAGATAGGCATACGCTACGCAGAGCGCTATGACGGAAATTTTCTATGGGCAATGGCATTTCTTCATCGAATTCCAAATGTGAAGGGTTCTTTTATGTGCACGCCAATGTGTTTTTGTACCATCTATGCAACTAGGCACTATCCTTTGCCAGAACGTTCGTCCTACACTACCGACAGGGAGAAACCATGGGCTGCAAAATCCCGGTGAACTTTCTTGATCAACACCAGGACCCGCCCCCCG